AGGAACAGTGGTGCCACCTCCCCCTCAGAGCTGGGGCAGGACAGGTGGAAAGACTACACACTACCGAGCTGCCATTTTGCGGCTGCTCCTGCCCAGACAGCCTTTTGCAGTCGCCTGAGGCCCAGGCCCCTTCCCTCCTGGATTTCTCTCCCAGCACTTCTCGCCTCCTCATGTACTATATTGTTTTACTGGTTAATTTGGGGTTTGTCTCTGTTTCCCCTGAACCCAGAACACACAGACACACAGTAGGTGTTCAGTAAGGATTTGATGATTTTCAGTAGATGTTGGCCTGAGGGAGGCCCAGAAGCCACGTCTGGATGTGAAAGTGTGCTGACAGCTGGAAACTCCTCAGAAATGAGCTTTATTTGTATTTATATGAGTAAAACCTGAACACAATATCATGAAAAAGCCCCTCAAATCATACAGAAGTGGGCTGAGGAAGAGGGGGCACTGCCCACCCTCCCCAGAGGGAGGAACCTCCATTTTCCACATGGATCCCCTCGCTCCAGGCCTGTTCCTTTCAATTCTCTCTGTGTGCTGTGTAGACAACAGTTTGTTGGGTGTTTGTTTCATAAATGGGGGTTGTGCTGTCTGCTTGTTCTCTTTGGCCGCCTTCTTCCCTAACTGGTCCTGGGAGGTCAGGCCTCTGGTGGAACCTCATTTGTAACAGTGGGCTGGAGGAGGCTTGAGGGAAGGGGCCCTCAGTGGGCCAGGTGGGCAGAAGATTGCACACCGCCAACATCATCCCTCCTGGCTTCTCTTCTTCCTCTCGGCCTGCTCTTTATACACCTGCTGGGCTGACCCTCACTTCCTGCTGCTGAGAGGCTGAGGAGGGGAGCGGAGGTCTCCTTCCTGACCCACAAGAGGGCCAGCAGCCCCTCAGAGTGTGAGGTTGTGACAGGAGAGTGGGATGCTGAGGCAAGGGCAGTTCGGGCCTGTGGAAACCCAACTTCATTAACTTCTAGTCTGGATTCAGAAGAGGAAGGGGTCGTAGGGTCAGTGGCTGTCCCTGGATGGCTTCGTTCTGATTCCCCGGGCGGCTCCCAGCCCTCTCCCCACAACCACAGGCTGGACACTGAACCCTTCCTGCTTGGGGGTTCAAGCCTTCCAAGGGGGCTTCCCAGTGGTATCCTTGTTTATCACCATGTTGTGTGAACCTCCTCAGCCTGCTCTTCCAAATGAGGTACATCCAGTAATGTCGGAAGTCTGACCCTCTGGGACCTGCGAGGGGAGAGGAAGGCCAAAGAGAACATGCACACAGCACAAACCCCATTTATGAAACAAACGTTTCCACACAGCACACAGGCGAGAACTGAAAGGCACGGAGCAGTCCTGGAACCAGGGGCTCCCTGCTGAAAAAGAAGATCCCCCTGGGGAGGGTGGGCAACGCCCCCTCTTCCTCAGCCCACTTTTGTATGATTTGAGGGACTTTTTCATGAGAATGTGTTCAGGTATTATTCTCGTATTAACAAATAAAACTCATTTCTGAGTAGGAGCTCTGGTTCTCAGAATACTTTCGTATCCGTATCTGGCGGCCCGGCCTGCCTGCCTGCCCCGAGGGGCTGCCACCTGGTGACATAACTTGACCGATGGGCACCATGTTTTCCCATCCCTATCCTTGTCCCTAGACACCAACAGCAAAAGCCATACTTCATGGCTAGAGGACACAAACCGAGTTCAGACCGCTCGTATCTGCTGGGCCAGAGTCTAAACACCTGTTTATTCATTCAAAAAGTATCTGTGTCAGAAGGTGATTGGGGGGTTGGGGGCAAAAATCAAGGGAGACACACTTCTCCCTGACAGGCCCCAAATTAGTCATCTTTGTATTAAAAAAAAAAAAAACAATTAGTGAGTGAAACATGAGGAACTGATAAACACTCTATTGGGCGGACTTTTCAGCCATCAAGTCCCTTATTTCCTATTCAAGCATGTACTGAGGACTAGCCAAATATTTATCACCCTGGTTTAAAGGTGAAATCTCGCCACCTAATTGCTGATGGTCCAAACAGAGATTCGAGCTTCCCCAGAACGAACACCCCACTTAGGTTTGTCTGGGTTAGACATCTGTAATCCCACAGACACTGCTGTCCCATGTATCCCCAGGCCTGAACCTGTGTGGCACACAGTTGTTGGTGTTAAGTGCCATTGAGTTGGTTCCAACTCGCAGTGTCAGGAAGAGGTTAGGACCCCTGGGCCCTGGGCCTCTCATAATCCACCCTTTTGCCCTGAGTCCTCTCCTACTGGACAGGGATAAAGAAAGGGGGAAGACCTCTCTAGTCCAACAAGAATGTTAACACTGGAGACAGAGTTAAGGATATCAGGACCTGAAACTCCGATAGAGGGAAGCAGCTGATCACAGACAGACAAACAGCCCATGGAGACAGCGCCGAGGGCTGACAAGTGCAGAAGACGCTCCATTTCCAAGAAGCCTGCGTCCCTTTCCTAGTAATCAATGAATATTCAACATACCACTCCTCCTAATCAATATGTATTAGCCCACTCTTGTAGGAGGAGACCCCATACCCTTACAAGCCAATATACCCCAACCCGAGGGTCTTCTCCTCACAGAGACAGGTCCGCTTCTCTCTGAAGTATACTTTCGCTTTGCAATAGAGAGCTTCTGAGTGAATGCTCATTGCTCGTATGTGATTGAGAAGCAGCAGCTCAGTGGGGCTAATTCTTTAGAACCCCCAAGAGCAAGAGGAACCAAGAAAAAACGTGACGACAGCCACCCTGTATAAGGTTTCCAAGGAGTGACTGATGGGTTTGAACCATTGACCTTGCTGTTAGCAGTGCTGTGCTTATCCTATAAGTGCCATACCAGGGCACACAGTCATTGTTGTTAAGTGCCGTGGAGTCGGTTCTGACTCATAGTGACCCTGCACAGAGTTTCCGAGGCTGTCAATCTTTAAGGGAGCAGAAAGTCTCATCTTTCTCCCGCAGAACCGCTGGTAGTTTCGAACTGCTGACCTTGCAGTTCACAGGCCGATTCGTAACCACTACGCTACCAGAGCTCTTTAGGGCACACAAAAATGTTTGAATTCCATGAGTAATTCCACTTCAGTCCTTCAAAGTGATCCACCTCCCTCTCTTTGATAGCACCACACGGTGGTCGGTGGTCGGTGAGACACACTCTTCCTTCCCCCTCTGGCCCTGAGAACAACTCCTCACCTCCTACCTGGAGGAGTCAGAGCCCTTAGGGACTCAGCACCCCATGAGCTCAGGCCTGGCTGTGCTGGGCTGCCCTCTCCCAGACCCAGGCTTCTTGCTCCTGGATCCCCACAAGCTCAGCCTGCCCAAGGATTAACTGAGATGTGTGGAAAACGCTCCATCAGGCACCTGGTACAAGCCAGGGCTCTGGCTGCACTGACAATATCAGAACAGTAACCCCTCTAGTGATGGACACACGGGGAGGCCCAGCCTTCCTGGTCCTGCCCCCCCCCCCAAAAGGCCTGCCCTGCCCTGGCTGCCCCCACCCCCTCAGCACACACCCACACTCACACCCACTACCCCAGCCCCACTTCTCCTTTGCAGCACCCGCCTACACCTTCCTGCCACCGAGTTGCTGGCCCGTGGGCAGGGGAGGCTGAGGCAATGGGCCAGAGACCCTCTAAGGTTGGAGACTCATGGTTCCCCAAGCCAGAAACCTGGGGCTAAGCCTTTCTCCCCTCACTCCACAACCAGCTGCTGGTCCCTTCCTTCCTTCTAAACAGCTGCTGGGTCATCCCCCTGCCTTGGACAGAGATGTAGCCCCTCACTGCTCAGCTGGCCTGACTAGGTCCGACTCCAGGGTGGCCGGAGAGGGGTCTCCTTCTAAAGTCCCTCTCCTCCCCTCCTCAGACGCCTCCTGGGGCTCCCCCCAGGCCTGAGGCCCTGGCACCTTCTACAGGCTCTTCAGCCCCATAGTTCCCTGCACAAAGCAATGGCTGTGACTGTCCCTAATGCTATCCTTCCCCCATGGGTGTTCCTTCTGCTGGAATGTTCCCCTCCCCATTACAGCCACTAAAGCCCTTCTCCTTCTATTCCTACCTCCACTTCTGTTCCCTGGGCAGTCACGTCTTTCTCTGTGCTCCCATAATAGAACCTAGGGACCTACTGTGGACCACCATCAGACACTAGTCCAGTGCTACTTGCCCCCCACCCGGATGGCAGAAGCAGCTTGTGTAGAGGTCTGGAAGCCAGACAGGGTGAGACACAGACAAGGTGAGACACAAGAGCCTGGGAGAGGAATCCAAGAAAGCAGCCCACCTGCTGGGCCCTGGCCTGTCCATGCCATCTATCGATCTGAGTGTCCCTTCTCTTAGCATCTAGAGAATGACCTGTTCCTCGTCCCTTAGTTGCTCTCCCCTGAGCCTGGTGTGTCCTTTCCAGTCCAGCCTTGGTCTGACTGTGACACTGGCTGTATAAAGTCCTGCCTGGCTCCCTAGTGACTTTAGACCAGAGTCCAAGTCCCTGCCAGTGGCCTGTTCCCTGCCACCCTGACTTTCCTACTCCTTTGCTTACACCAAGGCCTCTGTCCCAGACTGCTCCCCTCTGTCTCCATCCATGTACATACACCTCCTGACTTCCTGACCGAGTCCTTCTGTCTCTCTCTCCATCACTACCACTGGAGTTATGGCTGCCAGCCCAATACTGAGGAAGTGTTTAATGAACCAGCTCACGAAGACACATGGAAGGTGGATTGGGGGACACGGGTGGTGGGGAGCACCTGGAGCCATGGGCTAGCATGGGTCAGGTAGAACAGCGGTTACCCAGAGGTCTGGGTCCCCATTGCCATGAAGCTAAGCGCCCACCCATTAGAGGTGCTGCTGGTAATGGTTGAGTGCTTGAATGGAGGAACAGGAGGGTCTGAGGTGCCTGCCCTGGAGCCTTGGCTGAGTGGTCCCACCCTAGCAGGCAGGGGGCGGGGCAGGTACGGTTTGGGTCGGCGGCCCCTCCCGATTTCCTCTCGGCAGAGGAAAGACTCGGTCCCAGCTGTGTGCGCAGCGGCACCCAGCACTATGGCGCGAGGAGCGCGGAGTATGGGGGGCAGGGACGGCCCAGCGCCCCCCCAGTGTGGCCAGGGCAAGTGCTTCGACTCGCTTCTCCGCGCCTGTGTGGCCTGCAGGCTCTTCCGGACGCCGGAGCCCAGCCCAGGTAAGGTCGGGGTCCGGGGTCATCTGACGACCAAGGGATCGCAGGGTAGCCCCCGTGGAGTGAGCTGCCGGGAGCGCCGGGACCTGCCACCGCGCCCGGCGTCGCGATGGATGGATGGGAGAACCTGTGGGGAGGGGGCTTGTGGGGACCCGCCGTCACTGCGTGACCCTCACCGCCCCTCTCTTCCTCTCCGTGGCCCGTCTCCCCGTTCTCCCCCCTCTGTCCTCCCTCCCGGCCCAGTCTCTCCCCCCTCCGGCCCTCTCCCTCCCCCACCGTCCCTGTCTCCTGCCCCTTGCCCGCCCTCCCTGTCCTCTCCACCAGCGGCCGGGGCGAGCAGTTCGGCCTCGGGGACCGCGCCGCAGCCACAGGAGTCGGTGGGCGCGGACGCTGGCCCCCAGGGGGCGCTGCCGCTGCCCGGGTTGCTCTTCGGCGCCCCCGCGCTGCTGGGACTAGCGCTGGCCCTGGTCCTGGTGTGCCTGGTGCACTGGAGGCGACAGCGAGGCGGAGCGGCGCCCCCGGAGACCCCGGACTGCGATGGGAACGGTGAGTCGCCGTCAAGAGGCACGGAGTTGAGGCTGGGACCATGTAAGGGGAGACACACTGTCCTGAGTGGGGACAGTCTAAGCGGCGAGGCTGGGCTCTTGGGGGTAGGGACAGTGTGGATGGGGAGACCCAGCCCTCAGGGGCGGGAGCAGTCTGAAGGAGGAGGCACAGACCTGGAGGTGGGGCAGTTCTGAAGGGGAGGAAGGATACTGATGGATGGTGCCCCCCAGCCGAAAGAGCTTGCTCTGGGAGTTTGGAACAAGTGAGGGGTACAACTCTATATCATATCCCAATCTGACCAAGTGGGGATCCCAGTCTGAGGGTCCTGGTCAGGCATTTCTGTGGGACCCCCCAGCCTGGGCTCCCTCACTTCCCTATCAGCCCACCCCTCTCCTGGCCCTCTGGACAGGCCCTAAACTCACACTTCCTGTCCTCTCCCACCCCCCACCTCCCCCACCCCAAGACTGAGGCTTCATCTTTGCCATGGGCCTGAGGGCTGTCCAGCAGAGGAGGGTTCTAGAACAGAGAGTGGGGAGGGGGGAGGCTTTAATGCAACCTGCCCTCCACTCCCCACCCCACAGAGCCCCTGGACAATGTCATCGTCCTCTCCCCTGGATCCACTGATGTCACAGCTCCCATCTGGCCTCCACCTGAAGACCCCGCCACCACCCCACCTGGTCACAGTGTTCCTGTGCCAGCCACAGAGCTGGGCTCCACGGAGCTGGTCACCACCAAGACAATGGGCCCAGAGCAACTGTAGCCATGGAGGGAGGGCAGGAGGTGGCTCTGTCCTCCCTGTGGGTCTCCAGCCAGGGGCCTGGAAGTTGAATTTGGCTCTTCACCCCAGTACCCATCAGCCTTTTCCCTGGGAGCCAAGCTGTTCCCGTGCTGAACCCCACAGAGCCACAGACACTACAGACCACACTGTTCTGCCAGCATGGACTGTTCGATGTGCTTGTATTTGGCTTCAGACCGTCTTTGACAACCCCGGAAGGTTGTATCTGAGCTCCTGGGCTTTTGAACAATTGGGACATGGCATTGGAGGGTTTTCTTTAGAAAGTGAGAAAGCCACCAGTCTGCCAGAAAGAATCGAGATTACAGATGAGGGAGGAGGAGGGTGCTTAGTTTGCAACTAACCCCCCCCCAAAAAAAAAACAAAAAACAAAAAAAAACAACCCATTGCCACTGAGTAGATTCTGACGCATGGCGATCCCATGTGTTGCAGAGTAGAGCTGTGAATTACCAGGTCTTCTGAAGCAGTTAAAACTGTCTACCTTTCAGTCAGTAGGCAAGTGCTTCACCATTTGCACTATACCTAGAAACTCGCATTTGTAACTAGGTGTGGTATTTCTTTAATGCTTGCTCTCAGAACTGTCCTGCTTTTGAACTGATGCAAATGGAAGCAATGAGTAATAATAGTCCCTCCTGCTTCGGGAGTTAGCTTGTTTTAGAATTGACTGTTGTTGTTAAGTGCTGTTGAGTAAGTTCTGACTCATAGCGACCCTGTATGGGGTTTCCGAGGAGCAGCTGGTGAGTTTGAACTGCCCACCTTGTGGTTAACAGCATCACACCAGGACTCCCTTTGGGGGTTTAGGGATGAGAAACCTGGATGGTGCTCATTCTCAGGTATCTGTTTCGAGATCAAACCTGAGCTTGGCCCAACCTGCTGGGACCTGAGAGACCGTTTTCACCCTGGTGACAACTTCAAGAACCACAGGCCTGAACCTGGGAGGAAATCCACAACCTCGGGGGCATTGCCCTTAGAGACCACCATGGAGTCCCACAGGGTAGGCTCGGGAACCTAGAAAAATCTCCACTATACAGAGGCGAGGGCAGGCCTGTGGCCTGGAACCAGTGGAACCTGCTGTCCCTGGAGCTCCCTTCTTTTTGTGGCCATCCCAAGCATTGGCCCTGAGTGACAGGGTCACTTGGAGGTTCAATTTCAGCCCCTAAGGTCACCCCATTATTCCAGTGGAAGCTGCTTCTCTGCCATTGATTCCCCGTGCTCTAGGGCGTGGGGCTGAGACTATGTATGTTCCCTCTGGACATCACACAGTCCACCGCTGCCTCTCCTCCCTGTCCTCCTGATCTGGACTCCACCCTTCACAGAACTCATCACCGAGTAACCTTTGAAGGCACACTGGACTGAGAGTCAAAAAATGCAGTTCTGCATTTTGATCAAAGATTCTATAGAAGAATCCTGATCAAAAGAGAAATACTAGAAAAGAATTTCAAATCCTCATGGACTCCAGTCGTCAGAAAACCAGGAGGGTTGGATGAACCATTGAAACTATTGCCCTGAGAGCATCTTTAAACCTTAGGCCAAAAATATCCCCTGAAAGGCTTCTTAACACCAAACAATAGTTTAGCGTAACTCATAAAAGATATCTGCTTGAGCGTTATGCTCTTTTAAGAACTCTCTATATGGAATCCAATTGACAACAGCAACTTGGAAGATTAGACAGAAAGCTTAGCAGGCAGTGAATGTGTTAATAGGAAAGGACCCACCCAGAACAAAAGTTTGCATTTGTGAGAATGATCCCACATAACCCAATGAACGTTATCTGTTGCTAAATGATACGTGTAGGAACTCTTGGATTGGTGTCAACAAAACCAAAATAAATAATTTTTTTTAAAAAAGAAAAGATAAAAGGGGTTTGGATCGACCCTGTCCCACTGTTTTCTTATCATGTTCTCTCTCTAACCTGCCCACCAGAGGTGCCTAGCAGATGCCAATTCTTTTCCCAGCTTGGTCAGCAGCTAGCAGCATATAGAACCCCTAGGGTCTGAACACCCCCTTCCTGAACCCAACTCTGAGGCCCTTGACCCCAAGGACCCAGGTAGCTGGCTCAGGTGGCAGGCTGAAGACAGGAGGAGGAAGAGGCTGTGCAGGCCCAGAATCCGCCCAGCTGTCCACTTCTCTCTTTGTTTCTGAGTTGGGGGAGTCAGAACGGTTCCTGGCCACCATTTGTTCCTATTCTCTCTAGCACCTCATGCTTTCCATCCCTGTCAGGGGTGAACCCTGAAGACGAAATGAGTGGGTAAAACCCCTGAGCCCCAGACATGCAAACCTTGGCCCAGCTGACCCCATGGCTCGCACCAAGCTTACTCTCTGGGTCTGTTTCCTCTTTTGAAAACTGGTGTAGTGAGATTGAATGTCAAGTTCTCCTGACCTCAGAAGACTGAAACAACCCTAGAGAATTCATGCTCGCCACCCCACCTGCACCCCCATTTTACAGATGAGGACATTGAGGCCCAGAGACAGCAAGAATTTGGTGTCAGAGTTACCCAGCAAATAACGGAAGAGAAAGGGAAGTTCCTTGGGGAAAGAACCAGGAACAGAGGTGGGAGGAGAGGGCGCAGTGTGTCCCTGTCAAAGGCTCCACCATCTATCCAAGGTGAGAGCGTTTCTAAGGAGCCTTCACATCCCACACCTCAACTGGGTCTTCATACCTTAACAGCACCTGGGATGTGGGGGACGCTTGCGGTTTGTGTGTGTGTGTGTGTTTTTACATGCTTTTTGTCAACAACTTGGAAAATTCCAGAGAGGGGAGCCAGTTTGAGGTCTGGGGACATACCCACAACCCAGCCATCCCAGCCACTGGCATGTTTGGTATCTTTTCTATATAATCACAGTCCCTACATACATATGGTGGTGGTTATGAGCTGTGGAGTCGGTTCCAACTCATAGGGACCCTGTATAGGGTAAATCTTTACGGGAGCAGAAAGCCTCATCTTTCTCCTGCAGAACAGCTGGTAGTTTCGAACTGCTGACCTTAAGGTTTGCAGCCAGATTCATAACCACTACGCTACCAGAGCTCCTTTACATGCATATAAGCTGTCATATTTTGGGAGTTTGCTCCTGTCTTAAATGCTCTGCAAACAGGTTTTCAACATCTGCAAAGTTTTCCACTGAACGCTGAGTTGTTGGAGAGTTTTCTCAGTTGTAATTGAGGTGGTGAGTGCTTGCTGGGAGCAGTTGTTGTGCCAAAGGCCTCTAATCTAGACCAGTTTACAGCCAACAGGAGGTATTCTGTGGCCCATCTTGCAGACAGGGAAACTGAGGCCCAGAGAGGTGAAGGAAGCTGGTCTAAGACAAACAGGCCAGTGAGTGGTGGAGCTGGCCCCACCCAGGTTCCCTCCCGGGAAGTGACTGATACAAGCCTCGCCCTTGTTTTCATCTTCACTCAAAGGGATCCCTCCCCAGTGGGTTTTTCTGAAGTAGGAGGGATCCAGGATGGAGTCAGGCAGAACTGCTTGCTGGGGTAGGAACCGTGAAGCCTGTATTCAGGCCGGGTTTTCCTGAAGAAGGGTCTGGTTTCCCCAAGGTCCCCAGGGCCCTACAAGTGGGGGCTGGGATGGCTTAAGTCTCAGTTCCTCTTGGGACTTCCTACAGGCACTTTTCACTTCCTGCCTAGTAACCCTGGGCTGGTTGGGGGCACAGGGGAGGGGTGGGGAGGCCCAGCTGGTGAGAGGCTTTGGGAGGAAGGGCCTGAGCCTTCTCCTCCCTCAGTTTCAGCAGAGATGTCCCCTCAACCCATTGTCCTTAGAAGCTGGTGGCATCTCTTTGGACCTCTCTCCTTACCTGCAAGCGGGAGACAGGCAAGTAGGTTCTTCCCCCAGAAGTGCCACCACCTTCGTTCCCTGGGACATGGACACTTCTGGCTCAGATTCCTAGTGCTCAAAAAGTTCCTGGGAGTGATGTCCCAGGGCCTGGCTCTGAGGCTGTGGTCTCAGTGGGTACTTCCCATCACACATAATGTGGTGCTGTAGGATAAGCACTGGATTGCAAGGTTGGTTTGAAGCACAAGGTTGGCAGTTCAAACTCACCAGCTGCTCCTCAGAAACCTTATACAGGGCCGCTATGAGTTGGAACTGACTTGAGGCCACTTAGCCGAAACAGTAACCCCACTAGAGACACAGGATCCTGAACACACCTGCCCTGGGCTAATCTGATGGGTGAGACCAGAGGGAACAGTGGCAGGACAAGGAATGCCCCAAGCAGGGAGGTGACTAATTCCAGGGCAAGGCGTTCAGTTCCAGAGGACCGTGTGCAAAGACGCAGAGGAACAGGAGTGGCGGGGAGCACGGGAGCGGGTGGGCTAGAGAGATGGGCGGCTGTGCTGAAACCATAGGGAGGGGGAGGTACCACCCTCAGAGAGCTCGGAGCTCCTGGTGGAAACGTGGTGTCTCACCTTCCCAGGCCCCACAGACAGACACCCAGACACCTCTGGGGACGGAGTGGGACCTCACTTCTATTTGCTCTGATGCGGGTGGCTCAAGCCAAATTCTCCCTCACCCAGTCACGGTCTGCTCTGTGCCCACCCCGGACTGCCTCGGACCCGAGGGAGAGGAAGGCGGGGAACAGGAGGAGCAGAGGCCGGTGGTCCGGGTCCAGGCGCTTTGCTCCAGGCACTTGTCTGGGAGCCCCAGCAAGGCGGAGAGGGACCCAAAAGATCCCTGAACATCACCTCTGCTCCCCTCAGCTGCGGAGACTCAGACCTAGAAGATTCTGGGACCCAGCCTTGGACGTCCTGCCGGGATCCCAGGAGGTGCCCGCGAGTCCAGGATGCGCGACTAGTGCAGACTGCCCCGCCCGCGGCGCCCTGATCCACTAGGGCCCACGCGAGGAGTGGACTCCGGGGCGGAGGGGCCTCAGGGGAGCGTGGAGGGGGCAGGGCCAGAGGCCAGCCGAGGAGGCGGGGTCAAGACCGAGAGAGGGCGGAACCGAGGTGAACTGAGCCTCCTCGGAGCACCTGCGCTCCGCGCCCATCCCAGAACTTGCAGGTCCCGGAGGCAGAGGAGGGCGGGGCTGAGTCTCTGGGGCCAGCTGTGCTTGTTGAGGGGTGCAAGACGTCTTCTAGCCAGGAGCTGCCCTGAGTGGTGCCCTGGAGCTGGGGGACAATTCCCAAGGAAGTGCTGTGTGACCTCCGCCAGACTATTCCCGCGCTACAGTCTTGTGGGGGCGTCGCTCCAGTTCTGCACGGTCACTCCAGCCTTTAGAGTGTCTTGAAGAGGGAGACTAAGGTGGGAATTCAGGCGGAGAGACCAACGGTGACCACTGGAGGTCCGAGATTCCGTGTGGCTGGGTGGATGCGGGCCGGGAGAAGGAACCTGGGGGAGGGGCACGGGCGACTGAGCCCCAAATCTCAGCCAGCCACCTAATTTCTCCGCTCCCCGCGACCTCAGGAGCCCGGGCGCCCCCTCCCTCCCACGGGCAGCTGGAGCCTGAGTCATGAGCTGCCACTGAGAGACAAAGGCAGCCGCGGGCCCTCCCCCTTCGACCCCCTCCGAGGACCCGCATTTGCTCTGGCAGGGAATCCAGAATCCCCCAGAATCTTTGCGTCTTGGATCAGCCTCCATTTCCAGGAATTGGAAACGAAGTGAGCTTGGGAATGAGACCCTCGAGACTGTGAGTGGTTCGTGGCAACCACCATCCTCTCAGACAGGCTGGGTGGGGGGCTCCGAGGGCACAAGCACCTGAGTGTTTCCCAGGCGTTGCTCATCGGCTTTTCCCTGCAGCCCTGTCAGAAAGGTACTCAACAGTCCATCTTGCAGATGAGAAAAATGAAAACCTGGAAAGTTTGAATGGCCCCAAGAGGCCTGGTGTGGCACTGTGGACTGTAAAGTTGGTTTGAACTGCAACGTCAGAGGTTCAAACTCACCAGCAGCTCCTCCGAAACCCTATACAGGGTCACTATGGGTAAGAACCAATGCAATAGCACTTAACAACAACAACAACAACAATAGACTAGGAATTCCAAACCAGGTCAGTCTGGCTTCACAACAAAGAAGAAAGTAGTTCTCAGTGTAGGGCTTGGAAAGGCATGTCTATGCCAGGCACATACTAATGTGCCTTCAGGATGGAGAGGAGGCACCTCTGTTGGGCTCTGGGCCCAGCTCCAGCTCCTCTCCTTCTGCTAAACTGGCCAGAAAGCAGCTCTGGGCCCCACTGTGTCATTCCAGACCAGACCCTGGCCCTTCCTGGCCAGATGCCAGTCACAGATATCAGTCACTTCCCTGCTCTGTGCCTTGGGCTTCTCTCCAGAAAATTCCAAATCCCGTCTCCCAGGACTGGGCAGAGCCAGCAGACCGTCCATTCACCTTCTATACGGGGAAACAGGCCCAGCACACACTTTCCCAAATGTCCAGACCTCTCAGGGCCTCCAGCCTTCCACAGTCTAGACCAGGTATGCTGTGCCGGCTCGACAAGATACACACATGTGTACATACATGTGCCGGGTACAGGGAAGGTCTCACAACCACACTAGGCCCAGTGTACACACTCTCGATCACGTTCAGGCACACATTCAGACATCCGCACACTTGAGCTGCCAGCATCAGGAGCTGGGGGCGGGGCGGGTGCCCTTCAGGAGCAGAGACGGGCTCCTCTGCCCGCCCCGCAGGGCTTGCTGCAGATGCCAGGGGTTATTTTAAGCTTGGATCAATGGACGCTTTTTGGTGACACAGACTGGGAGTGGGAGGGGGGCAGGCAGAGGAGACAAGAGGCAGGTGTCCTGGTGTCTTATTATGTATGGAGAGACCTGGGATCCAGGGAGGGGCAGCCTGAGCAAATGGGTCACTCCTTAGGTGGGCAGCTCTGATCCTTCACCCAGCATAGGCTCTGGGAGGGGGATGGGGACAGCATCAGCTGAATGGATGGACAGGGTATTGAACACATTGCCTGGGGCCAGCAGATGTGGACGCCTATGATGACTGACAGTGGACGCCTATGATGACTGACGGACGGCTGAACCACACTGAGACAGGGAGGAATCCGTGTGTGTGTGTGTGTGTGTGTGTGTGTGTGTGTCGGGGAGGGGGCAGATCAGGCTCTAGGTGAGGTAGAAGGACTGGAATCCAGTCCCTTCTTTGGACAAATGATGGTTAGAATTCCTCTGTAATTAGCATGGTGTCAGAGGTGAGCAGAGCTCCCAGTGCCTGGACAGTAGACTGAGGAGTGGGCAGGGAGAGGGCATGGCCCCATGGGATAGCATTGGGGAGATTAGTTCTGGGTCCAGAAGGGTCATCCTATCTAGGAAAATGTCCCATAGTGACAAAGACATAACTATGTAAGCCTGAAAACCGGCCCATTGCTGTCAATTCTAACTCATAGTCACCCTGTAAGACAGAGTAGGACTGCCCCCCATAAGGTCTCCAAGGTTGTAAATATTTGTTGGAGTAGACAGTCTCATTTTTCTTCTATAGTGTGACTGGTGAGTTAGAACCATTGACCTTTGGTTACAGTGCTTTACCACTGTACCACCAGGGCTATTTCAGCCTAGTCCCCTGCATTGGTGGGACAGGAGAAGGGGGAGAAGTACCACTCTCAGGGGCCTAGCAGCCTGGAGGACAGTTAGCAGTGGGTGGTAGGAACCTTAACTCAAACTGCAATTTGAGCCAACTGATTCTGTTTCTAGGAATGTCTCCTAAGGCAGCAGAAAGGGTGCTCCAGAATGGAGAGCTATGAAACTCTGAGCAGAACCACAGACTCAAAGTTTAAGAACATCAGAGAACCCAGCTATAAAACAGTCGGTAAAATGGGACATATTTTAGCAGCGTTTTCTCTGAGAATGGGATTTCATTTCATTCCTTTGCTCACTTTTTTCCTTATAAAACTGTAATAAAGAAAGTCTTGTTTTTAATTGGGTGGGCTCTTCTGTGCTGAACAAGAAACAAATAGTTGGGGAGGCTGGGGGGAGCAATAGGGTGTCTCTATTTAGCCAGGGTACAAGGAAGGACCCAGCGAGAAGGAAGAGAGGCTGTGGGATATTTACCCCCTTCCTGTCTCCGTGCAGTAAGCTTGAAATTAGCTGTCAGCACTTCATCTTGGCAACAGAAGGACCTGATCTTCCTTAAAATGTAAATCCTCCCCTTCCCTATCCTCACTTATTTTATAAATGGATCCCAGTCACCTAGTGAAGGAGAGCTGGAAATGGAAGACAGCAGGGTAGACCCTGTTGTTGTTAAGTACCCTAGCGTTGGTCCTGATTCATAGTAACCTTGTACAGACTTTCCAAGGCTGTAAATCTATGCCGGAGCAGAAAGCCTCATCTTTCTCCTGCGGAGACTTTGTGGTATGTAGTCCAATGCCTATCCTACAGAGCCACTGCACTCCCCAGGAAAGACCCTTGTTGTTAATTGCTGTTGAGTCGATTCCGAGTCTCAGCGACCCTGTATAGGGTTTCCAAGGAGCGGCTGGTGGATTTGGAACACCAACCTTGAGGTTCAAACCGACCTTGCGCTCCAGTGCCTTATCCTACGGTGCCACCAGATGCTTCTTGTTACAGAAACTAGAGACCAGAATCGCTTCATTTATTGATGTGGCTGATCTGAGGGGAGGTCTGCGCTGCGCCAGGTCCCAGGGTGAACTGGACGTCCTGCCATCTGGACAGAGGGGAGGAGACCATATGGTCCCTGCCTCCTGAAGGGTAGGGGCGGGTTATGAGTCTGCCTTGGAAGAGTTTTTAATGTTACAGATGAGAAACAAACAAGCATAAAGAAGCAGGGCGCCGCGGCTCGGTCACATTTTCCAGTTAAACCAAACTTGGCAAACAGGACACAGTTGCGCCCTAGCAGTGTCCAAGACCTGGTCTGGGTTGGGTTTCCGCGCGCGTCTCCTCCCCTGGGCTAGTGAAATGGTCAGCGGAGGGAGGGCCGGAGGGCGGCCACTGGCACCGCCCCCAGAACTGGTATCGCCACTCGCCCAGAAGGTAGGTAAGGGGTCGGTGCTCATAACCACCCGGGTAGGGGCTCCCGGAGCTTAACGCCCCGCGCTCTGGCTGTGCGGAGGGTCCTCAGACCTGTCCCCTGCAGCGGTTCTGCTGGTGGCTTCCTTCCCATCTGAGAGGAGGGAAAGTAGAGGCGCAGAGAAGAGGGCTCCCGTCTCATGTCACACCTCCGAGTGGTTCAGAACCGATAGGGAGCCGGAAGAAGGCAGCGGCGGCAGTGGTGGGGCACCAATCCCCCGGGATGACGCCGGCCTCCGCGTCCCAGTCCCCACCTGTACAGCAGAGGCGCGCGGTCGCGGGCTCGATGTCCGAAGTAACAGCCTTGGGAGCCGTAAGCTGAACTCTGTGGATTGTCTCAGTCCTTGGGCTATTTGGGGAGGTCTTCGGGGAGGGTCCCTCGGGGCTGGCTGCGCGCCACCGCCCCCTCCCTCCCGGCTCTGCCCCGCCTGCCCGCCTCACTCGCTCGCTCGCTCCCCCGCCCGCCCGAGCCGCCGAGCCGAGCCGAGCCGAGCCGAGCCGAGCCCGAGCCCGAGCAGGACAGAGCGCGGGAGCGCCGAGCGGCGGCTGGCAGGCAGCTGCGGCGGGCGGCCGGGCGCTCCCCGCTCGACCCGGGAGCGCACAGCTGCCTGGCCCGGGCGCCAGCCGCCCCGAGGAGGCGTCTGCAGGATCCCGCGTCCGGGCCGGGGCCAGCGCGACCCTTGAGGGCGCCGAGAAGCCACCCGAGGCCGAGCCATGCGGGGGCCACAGTAACCGACGCGCAACCCGATGGAGCGGCCCGGGGTCTGGGGTGCGTGCGGCGGCCGCGGTCCGCCGGAACTCGGGCTGGTACTCCGGCTGGCGCTACTGCTGCTGGCTCGGACACCGTCGGGCCGCGCGGGGGCCCCCGAGGCGCAGGAGCCCGCGACAGCTGGCACAGTGGCCCCGGCGGGCGGCGACCGCTGCCGCGGCTACTACGATGTGATGGGCCAGTGGGACCCGCCCTTCAATTGCAGCTCCGGCACCTACAACTTCTGCTGTGGGACGTGCGGCTACCGCTTTTGCTGCCACGACGGGCCGCGGCGCTTGGACCAGAGCCGCTGCTCCAACTACGACACGCCGGCCTGGGTGCAGACTGGTCGGCCACCGGCGCGCCCCCGGGATACCGCGGCGCCCCGGGACCCCGGCCGCGAGCGCAGCCACACGGCCGTCTACGCGGTGTGTGGCGTCGCAGCGCTGCTGGTGCTGGCCGGCATCGGGGTGCGCCTGGGCATCGAGAGGGCGCACAGCCCGCGAGCTCGGCGCACTGTGACCAGGTGAGCGTGACCAGGTGACCCCTGGCCCGCACCATCTGGATGGGCCTTCCGCCAGTGTGCGCCCCCTCGGCCCCCCAATTCCCCCGCCCCTCTCTAAGCTCTGGTCCCCTAGTGGCGCCTCCTCCTTGTTCCAGTCTCTGACTGGCTCATTTCTGTCTCCCCCACCCCCACTTCAGGAAGGGAGACAATTGATACCGCCCTGTCTCCCCTTGACCTTCCGGCTGGAGCTGGGCTGGGCGCGAGCCCACTGTCCCCCGCGGCTCCCGCCTGCTCCGCAGTGAGCAGGGAGGGCAGGTCGCCCTGTTCCGAGGGGCACAAGGTCCCCTCCAAAGGGAGGACGTCTGAGGGCAGGGCCCTATAGCCAGGCGAGTGGGGAGTGGAAGGCGCTGTTGGTGGTGGTGGTGGGGTCATTTGGGCAGGGTTCCCTGACTGAGGAAGGTAAGAGACACCTTCTGCAGTACTCTTGGCTCTCTCCTACTCCCTCCCACCCCCCAACTTCTTCTCCATTTACCTACCCTTCATCCATCCCTCCACCCCCTTGTGATTCAGGTCTGACCTTCCTTCTCTGGGGTCTCAGAAGCAACCCCCTCCAGTATTCCCCCAAGCAATGTCAAGACCTTCCCCAGTATAGTACTAGAAAAGGGGCTGAGGTGGGGTGGTGGGGCGCAGGCTCCTGTTTCTGGCCAGGCAAGGTGTGAAAGGGGATCTCTGAGACCCAGGTTTTCTTCCTCAGCTGGAAAACAGGGCTAAGGGTTGAGGATTGGGATTCTAAGTGCCCTGGTCCCGGAATCCCCCAACACGCTCACATACCCCACCCTACTACCAGTCTAGGGGTCTGTACTCTCCTCACTCACCAGCCCCTTGGGCTTGTGGGCTGCTCTAGTGGTTGCTGTAGACACCAAGTATGACAGCTAGTATTTAGAAGTAACAACTGAGGGATGCATCTTTCCCCCTCCTGGACCTCAGGGGCAGGAGAGCAAGGCTTCCTTGGCATTCGATGGCCTCTTGCCTCCCAGGCTTAGTCCTCCCCCTCACCAATGAATTTAGGGCAGAGCTGGGGCTGGAACCCTGATCTTCATCCTCAGCTACTGTGCTGTCCCAGGACTGAGTCTTAACCTGGGGCCCTTTGTGCTTGGTGTTCCTTATGCTGAGTGAGGGCGAAGGTGGCATGTCCTCAACCAGCGTGGGTGTCAGAGCCGTGAGCCATGATGGGTAGAGGGGTAGCTGGCTGACATGTCCATCTAGAACCTCCTTCATCTGAAAGGAATGACGAAGCTACCTTGAGCCTCAGATGTGCTGTGTGGCCTGGGTCAAAACCTTCCCCTCTCTGGGTTTAGGATCCCAGGTGTCTGACTTCTGTCTTGTCCAGGGAAATCTGGTACAGAGACTCAGGCTCATTGAGAGTGTGTTCTGAATCCCTGCCTCCTCTGCCTTCCCCTTAACTGTTGTGTTGGAGATCATGGTCAGAGACGGTTTCTCAAAGGACTTGCAGGTGTCGGGAGCTAGAGCTTGTCCCTGAGAAAGTTTCTGTAAAGGCCCAGAGGCATGAACATTACTGGGGATTTGGGAGAGTGGGGCTGGAGGGTTGTTTGTCCAGAGTTCATACCGTAGACACGTAGACAGTGGAGGAGTGAGCCAGGTGTGGTCAGCTCAGGAGGCCACTAGGAGGCATTCAGACCCTGCCCCACTGCAGCCAAACTGTGCTGACCCCTAGGTGTCCCATCAGTTTGTCTCTTCATGAGTTAGCTATTTGAGGCCCCAGCCCCAGAAGGGAGGTCAGATGGAATTAGGAGAAAATCATGGGTTCTGGGTGCTGGAGGCAGCTGGGCTACAGGCTGTGTCTGGCTGTCTTTGGGAAGGCTGTCATTGGCTGTCACAGCTGGGTGGGGGTTGGGTATCATGGGCACCGGTGAAATGGCTGCCCAAGGTCACACAGCCTTTTGGTGCTAGGCTGCCACAAAGCTAGCTCCTGGTCTCCCTTCCTGCTTTCATCTGCCTACCCCTCTATGCCCACCCGGGCAGCCATGTCACAGGATCCTGTAGCAGCCCCTACTATAGGAGCAGAGTTAGGTAAACAGGTACTGAAGACTTCTTGGCAAAGGAGGAATTTCAGTGGGGATTTGAAGGGTGAGTAGGAGTTTTACCAGTCAAGTTGACAAAAAGGATATTATAGACAGAGGGCACTAACTGCATAAGCTAAGTCCAGGAGACCTGGTATGTTCACGGAGCTTGTGTTGGAGGGGAAGCTCAACTTGGAGATCCTTGGCTGGGGGTGCCAAGAAGAGGCAGGGAGAGGAGCCCCTAGCCGTATATGACCCCACTCGAGCTCCTTGACCTGCTTGGGGGAGGTCAGCTTGACACCACAGGTGAGGCTGGTGGGGGAACCAAGATGTGTGTGATCAGCTACAGGAGAAAATTGTTGGTTCTACTAATAGCGACCCTGTGTAGGGTTTCTGAGGTTTTGAGTTTTCCAGGAAGCAGAAAGTCTCGTCTTTCTCCTGCAGAGCAGCTGACAGGCTTGAACCCTGTGGTTTGCTGTCCAGTGCTTATCATATTGGAGTCCTGGTGTGGTGCTGTGGGTTAATGTGCTGGACTGCAAAGCCGTTTGAACTGCAAGGTCAGCGGTTCGAGCTTACCAGCGGCTCCTCCAAAACCCTATACGGGGTCTCAACGCCACTTCACAACAACAAAGCTTATCATGTTGGAGGCCTGAGAAATGATGCCCAGGGTTACACAGTGACACTGTGGTGGCCAAGGCTGACCACAGGAGGACAAGGGGCAGGGAGAGTGATTTGTCACCACTCTATCCCACAGGACACTGACGGAACTGTTGAAGCAACCGAGCCCCCAGGAGCCACTGCCGCCACCCCTGGGCCCACCTCTGGGCAGCTGTGTCCAGGTGCAGATGGGTGATTGCCTTCCTCGCGGCTCCCCCCACAACAGCACAGGTAAAGGCACAGGACCTCCCTGGTCTGTCCCTGACCTAGGCTGAGAAAATGGCAAACCGTGTAGGGTTGGTCCTTTTGGTGGGGGAGGGAAGTTCTGTTCTGGCTGCCTCTGCAGGTGAGTGGTGTAGGTAAGGTGGTCAGGGAATCTCCCTAGTGGAGGAGAACCCATCATGGGTCCTTCCACCTTGACCCTCAGGGCTGTGTCTTACCCCTCAGATTTAGGAACTTTAACCAGGGTTGTGGTTCTGAGGCTCAGGTTGGGACTCCATAGTTGCTCCAGGGTCCTGGGGTCGGCCTGGTCTAGGACTGTCTCCTCCTCTAGGCCTTGTCCTCCAGGCTGGACATCCCTCTCAGCCTCTAGCTAGGGAGGCAGCACTGGCAGCCCCCCATCCCGCCCCCATCAGGCATTCCCCCATCCCGGGTGTCCTGGAACTGCGCCTGGCTCTAGCCCGCGAAGGGTGAGCTGGGTTGGCACCCACGCGGGCTGACTGCTATTTTTCATGTTAGTGTGAGCCAGGTAGGTTCGGGCAGGTGTGGCATGTGTCCCGGGCAACGGGCCCAGGCGCGTCTTACCTATTCCCTCCCTGTCCCTCAGACAAGAAGCGCCTCAACAACGCGCCCCTGGGGTTGGCGACCCCCGCGCCATTGCTCGGTCCCCGGCTGCAGGGGAGCGGCACCGTGACGCTGCAGCCCGACTACGCCCAATACGCCACGCTGAAGGCCACCGCGCTGAAGGCCACAGGTGAGTGGCCCGGACCTGCCCGAGCGCCCGCCGCCTGGCCCGCTGTCCCTGAATATCCAAGTTCCTTGATTACAAGGCTAGGGGACAGCTCAGCCCCAAAGTTCACAGCGTGGCGGGTCAGCTCTCCAGCCTGGCCCCCCCAGTATCGCGCCAAAGCTGCGGAGTTTACCAATCAGCGCTTTAGGCGCCCCGGAACGCCGAGCCAATTGGTTCCCGTTTTCGCCCTTAACCCCAACCCTGGCCCCGCCTCCCGCGACCTAGCCCCGCCCTATCCTGCGCCCTAGGCGGGACTCCACCTCCTTCTAGTCGCCATCTCCCACCTACTCCAGGACCCTGCCCCGGCGGTCTGACCTCTCCCTGTCCGACCTATCCCGAGGGCCCCGCTCCAGAGTCTGATCGCGCCCGGTCCTTACCCACAGAGGGCGCCCCCCAAGACTTCTACCAACGTTTCTCCGCCCCGGAGCCGCTCCAGCTGACCCTCCCGGCGCGAGCTCCGCGACCTCCCGAAGACTTTCCTGCGCTGCTCGATGCCTGTCCCTGGGCCCCACCGGGCTATCCGTCTTCCGCCGGCCCCGCTACCTCGGGCCACTATAAGGCCTGGACCGCGGGCCGCCCGGGTCGGCCTGCACACCGAAGCCACCTGGCGACTCAAGCCTCCCCGGCGGCCCGGCGGTCCGGCCACGCGCCCGGACGCCAGTTCAGTGTGGAGAAGCTTCCTGAGACCTTCAGCGCGCAGCCCCCCGGCCTATATGGCAGCGCGGGCCGCGGACCTCGGCACCTGAGCACTAACAGCAAAGCCGAGGTCACCGTATGAAGACCAGGACGCCGGTCCTCCGGGGGCCTTGTCCGCAGTCAACGACGGCCGGCCAGGCGGCAGAAAGGAGCCCCGGCCCAGGAAGGCCAGCCCTCTGCCCAAATGGGCAAGGGGCTGTGGAGCCCACCAGGCTCCGAAGGGGCCACGGCTAGTTATCTAGTCTGGGAGCTGCAGGGCCCCTGCGTTTCTCCTGTAAATAAACCCATTTCTGTGGTTCCTGCCCCTGAGAATAAAGAAGGTGGCCTAGCTTGGCTGCGCAGGCGCTGATGGCCGGGTTTGTCAATGACTGGACAGACCGGTGGTGCTGAGGGCACAGTGGGTGCAGCAGCAGACTGCTCTGGAGGGCTGGCGCTCGGCGATGGGGAGCCAGGAGTGAGATGGCCAGGGTGGAGTGCCAGACTTAGTACCCACACCAGCAGGACCCATAGGCAAGGAGGCATCTTGAAGCTTGGACACGGGAGATGACTGTGGGGTCCCTTGAGGGCCCATACCCCTTACTGGAGGTCCCTCCCACACCTGCGTCAGGCCAACCACCTTACAGTCCAAGTTGGCTGAACCTGAAGGTCTAACTCGAGGCCACCTGTCGGCCACTTGGCCAGGGTCCACCCCCCTAATGGGTATGGGCAGCGGGTTGGGCAGACAGCTGGTGCTCAGGGAGGGGGACCTCGTCCAAGGAGCTGCTCTAGAAGAGGGGGAGGAGACGGGGATAGTGGACCAGGAGGCTGCACAGTGGCACTGTATAGTTCTCACACTATACATGCTTGGTACTGCCAGGAGAGCTCCTGTTAACTGGCCTTGACCCAAAGAGTTGCCAAGAGCCTGCATGGTTCTTTGCTTCCTCTGTGCTGGGAGCTGGGCCACAGCTTCTCGGTATGTGACGGCAACACTGCCACTCAGTTGGGTCTCCGTACTGTGTACCCTGGCAGGGCGTACTGTTCTCTTAACAATGGCCACCAACTGTTGCTGTTCATCACTTGATCCTCACAAGCAGCACAGGAGATGTGGTTTTTCTAGAGTTAACTTTACAGATGAGGAAAAGGAAGTCTGGAGTAGCTACTTCCCAGGGTCACCAGCTGCTCCCAGTTCAGCCTTACTATGTGGACAGTGGGGGTGAGTGGGGAGGAGGGAAGGTCAGGAGTGTGTTGGCTCCAGGTAGGAGTCTGTTTTTCCCTGCTGATTACCTGTAGGTTGCCCCTTAAGGCTGTAAAGGGAACCAAAGCCCAGAAGCCCATGGTCCAGCCCTCACCCTCTAGACTCGGGGTGGGGGTGGGGTGCCCTGGGTCTACTCCACAGCTGTGTGGAGCCGGGGGAGGGGGGTGGGTGCTGAGTCATGGAGCCCGCCACGATTCACAAAAGGATCTGGCTCCTGGGCGCACTGGCCACCCACAGCCACCCACCTGGTGACGCAGGTCCTGACTAGGCTGTGCTGGGAAGTGGGCTCGACCCTTCTGCTCCCCAGTGCGAAGAGCCCTAGATGTCCACCACAAAAAATGCTGTTAACTGTGGACAGAGTCAGGCTGCTCTGGGCCATGGCAGCGTGACCTGCAGAGACTGGCCTGAAGAGAAGAGGGGCTGAGGTGAAGGGACCCAGCTCATTTCTCAGCTGGGGGAGTGTGGTCAGGCCATGGGCCCTCTCTGTGTGCTCCAGTCGCCATGTCCACTCATGGTCCCAACGGTCACTCCCACCCTCAGCCCTCTCCATTCTTTGGTGACCTCCCCCTAGCTCCCTGGAGACACCCCAAGGCTGTCCTCTGCAGCCTCAAGGACCACGAGGAGCTGTGCTGAGGGCACGATTGTGATTGTCACCCCATTCTGAACAGGAGGAAGTGGAAGTCGGTAAATGGTGGCCCAGCCAGTTAGTACAGGAGCTGGGCCCGGCTGATGGGTGGCCAGTGAGTGTCCTCAAGGGAGAAGAGGAGACAGAAAGGATCCCCGCACCCATGGAGGGAGATTTCTTCTGAGAATAGCTAACGCAAAAAAAAGAGGGCTTAATCTCACATTCCAAGGGCCCTCAGCTGTCAGCCGCCTGGCTGCTCCCCTCAGGGAACAAAGCCTGGACCCTGTGATCTGTGAGCCCTTATTGCAGACCTTCCTGTGCCCGGAGCGTGGCTGTCCAGCCAACCCTGGACAGAGGGGCAGGTGGGCACACCTGAGGACAGAGAGCTGCCCTTAGACCCTGGTCCACTGGAGGCTAGTCACTGTGGTCACACTACAGACCCCACACACCTCACGCTGGGGGTACCAATCTGTTTATTGAATAGCCTGCGTCTTGAACACATCAATGCGCCAACATGAAGGAAGGCAAGGCTGCATCCTTGTCAGTGAATGCCCCCAACAGTAACGAGAAAAGGCACAGTACACACACACACATACACATGACACAAGGGCTGGCCTGAGGGGGTAGGGGCCAGTGGGCAGGGTCCATAAATTAGTGAGTAGGAAGGGGCGGAGATAAAGTGGGAGGGGGCCCGCAAACCTCAGGGGGAAACCTGGCTCAATGGAGTCTTTCTGGCCTGAACTCAGCACAGGGGCCCTGCCTAGCTGCTGTCCCCCATAACCTAAGGGGTTGAGAAGCACAGGAAGGGGGCAGGCCTCCTCAGCCTCAGGAGAAAGACTTAGGGAGGGCACTGAGCCAGGGGACCCAGAAGACGGGCGCGGTTTCCTCCGAGGACCCCCTTTGGGGAGGGGCCCAGGGGCCAGCCCCTACTAGCCTGGCTTGTTTTCAGGCAAGCATTAGGGATAAAAACAGCCTTTAGAGGTAGGGGTTAGGCTGGGTGGGGACTGAAAGTCCTGGTCCCCAGCCCCAATGGGTAGCATCATCCCTCCCAGCCCCTTGGGCCTACTCTGAGTTTGGGCTTACATCCCAGGGGGGCGGGGAGTGGGAAGGAACAGGACAATTAAATAAGATACCATTTATTTTTTTAAAAAAATTAAAAAATAATGCCGACATTATTTCATCCATCCCAGGCTTGCCCCCTGCCTCCCACAGCCTCCCAGGGCTGGCTCCCTGCCGGTCCCTGGGGGTCCTGCTTCATAAAGAGAAAAACAATGAACTGCTTTGTCAGGCACAGGAGAGGGGATGCAGACCAATGATGCTACAGCAACAGCCCTGCATCATGGCAAACCCAAGCACACAGATATAAAAACGTTCGTATAAAAAGGGGGCATGCTGGGCATAGGCCCAGGGCAAATGCTCTCTGGTCCCCGAGACCCATGTTTCCAGAAGAAAGCTCGATAAAAACAGAGGAAGCAGGAAGAGGGAGTGAGGTCCACCGGAGAAGCACAGGTCCAAGTGCTTGGGGCCAGGGCATGGCAGCCTTCAAGCCCAGGGACCCCCACCACCTGGCCTGCCTGCCTTGCCTCAGACCACTGGGGCTGGACCCAGAGTCTGCGTTACAGCAACTTCGGGGCTCTGCCCTGGGATTCACTGCCTGAGGAGGCCTGAAGCAAGGCTCATCCATGAGAGAGAGGAGGCAGATGGCAGCAGGAGAGAGAAGACAGAGGAGGGAGAGTGATGAGAGGCAGAGGGAGAGAAAGCACGGATGCAGGGGGGACGGACAGACGGAAGAGGGGCCAGGGAGCAGGCAAAGTGGGTGGGTCAGGAGGCAGCAATGGCCGTGCCGCCGCCCAGTTTGACGACCATCTGCTGGCAGTCACTGTAGGAGCGCCGGTCACCCACCTTCTCCAGGGTGCGGGCGGCCTCGGCCAGCAGCACTGCCCGCTGGCCCGGGGAGGAGAGGAAAGAGAGGGGGAGGTGGCGGCAGGCCAGCAGGATGGCGGTGGCACGTTCACGCTGGCCAGGCCAGGTGTCCACTTCACCTGTGGACATGGGGAGAATGAGAGGTCTGCTCCTGGGAGCCTGCTTGGCACTGTGCCAGGTGCTTCCCGCGGTATGTCCCCCTCCCCACTCCTGTTTAGCCTCGCTCCAGAACCCGTCACTGTACTCAGGCTGTACCAGGACCCCAGTCCCCACACTCACCCCAGACCCTCCTCCCAGCAACCCTTCCAAGCCATCCGCCAGCTCATTGCCATCTCCGCCGCCTGAGAACTGGCAGATGGACGCTAAGGCTCAGGGATGAGGAGGCAGGCCCTTTGGGAGTGGGGGTGGGGCTCACCATGCTTGGTGTTCGGGGTGGTGCGTCGCCGGAAGCTGTGCTCCAGCAGCTGGTGGGTGCGGGTGGGGCTGGCTCCTGCCATCAGGCGCACGGTGGCTTCATGCAGGAACACCTGGGGGAGGATGGTTCAGGCTCAGGCTCTCGAGTGTCCACCTCCCCAGTGGGTCCCGATGGCTCCTCAACCCTCCACACTCCCTTGCCTCGCTCACTCCTGAAGGCACACCTGTAATCCTGCAAACACACCCTAGCCTCGCCTGAGTCCCAGGGTGAAGAATAAAGCAGACACAAGACTGGGATGGGGAGGAGGTGAGGGCCCTGCTTCCTTTCACTTCTTCAGAAAGAGCCTGGAAGGTTTCCGAACAGCTGCAGTCCCTATGTAAATGAGTCTTTGATTTCACACCAAGGTGGCCCCTCTCCAGCCTACATGGTCTGTGGGGAGGGTCTCGGAGGGGGCTGAGCAGGAGACTGGCAGGATCGAAATGCCACCCTGGGGCTCACTTTCAGTTCTCCAGTGAGACACTTGTCACCTACTGGGTCTGTCCTGCTCAGTGCAACTGGAACTTGAGTGATGGGAGAGAAGTATGAGGCACTGAGTGTGGGGGCTGCCTCCCCTGGAACCTGTCTCCATCCTGCATCCTGCCAAATACAGCTCCCTACCCCCATGGACACTTCTAGCAAAAATGTCAAGTAGATTACTCTAATTAGCGATAAAAATACAAGAAAATGATGAGTTGATTAAGCTAGTCACAGGCTAGTCCTGAGAGGCCAGAGGGGGCAGGTCAGCTAGAAGGACAGAGAGCTCAGCAGAACTAAAGTGGGCTGCCCTTGGAACCCAGTTTCAGGGAGTGGTGGAGCTTTGGCCCACCAGCTCACCCCTCTCTGGGCAGGCCAGGAGCTCCGAACCCTGCCTACCACAGACCTGCATTGGGGGTACAGTTATGTGGCAGCCACTCTCTCTGAGTGGCCAGGGTCCCAGCGGGGAACCCAGCCCATCGCCCAGACGCTGGGTCTCACCTTACGGTATGCCGGGCGGAAGCTGTGGGCCAGCCTGCGTAGACTGCCCAGGTCCCGCTGGAAGCCAGTCAGCTCAGCGCCCGATGCCTGGTAGGTCTCACCCAGGGCCTGGCTGGCACCCGTCTGCTTTTGCCAGAGCACGGTCCTCAGGGACAGCAACAGGTCACAGATGAGTAGCTGGACCACCTGTAGGGAGGAGCCAGGTGAGCAGCCGAGTCCCTGCAGCAAGTAAACACTGGAGGTGAGCTTGGTCTCATTTCGTCTGACCCTTCCCATGGCCCCAGAAGCTGGGTGTCTTCTCTCTCCCATTCTGCACGTCAAGGTCAGAGAGGTCAGAAGCTTGCTTGGGGGGGGGGGGGCATAGGGGACAAGTGGCAGGGTCAGGAATGAAACCCTGGGGGCGAGTCTGGCCCAGAGGGGGACATGTGGCTTTTTCTTCCTCCAAGGCTGTAGACAAGGGGATGCCGCTTACACTGCCCTGGACCCAGCCCTGTATGGTTCCTGCTGACAGTCTCAAGAGGACACGGCTAAGGACCTCCCTCAAATGAAGTTGGCACATCTAAGATGTAGATTCAGGAAGGAGCAGCGGGCCGACAGGCACCATGGACGGGTCCCCTCTCCTCCGCCCACTATTCCACCAGGAATCCCAGCCCCATGTGCCCCAAACTTCCCTGAAGCGGTCTGGTTCTCCCATGAAGGCACACTCAGGCAGACAGGTGGGCAGTGAGCCGTGGGGCTGGGGGGCGCTGCACTGCCCCAGCTCTGTCTGGGCCCACAGAGCCCAGTGCCCTGGCCCCCTTGATGCCCTCTCACCAGAAGTGGCAGCCTAGTCACCAGGCACCACACCCTAGACAGGGCCAAGTCTGAATCCCAGGACTCTCCCTGCCTTCTTCTCAAGTTAAGACAAGCTCTTCAGGTGGGCAGACGGAGAGCAGCTGACACTTCCCTTCCAGCTGTGTCTCTTGGAGGGCCATGCCATGTGGCCTGGTGGTGACTCAGTGCCCACAGGGCCTTTGGGGCGGGCGAGGGGTGGGATGGATGGGCGGGTGGGCCTCTGGGATGCACTGTGGAAACACTGCACGGTGCTGCCAAAACATGCAATGCAACTACAATGCACCCCAGCTGCCCACCAGATGTGCGGCCGCCAAGGAGGTGCACTCCGCGGGCTGCGGAGGAAGCAGGTGCCTCCACTTTGGGCTTCGGGGAGTCTGGGCCAGCCCCTCCCCAGGGGACATGACCCCCATCCCTAACTCACATGGTGGAGGGTGGAGTCGGCAGCAGCCCCACTGACGTTGAGGCTGTTCCACAAGTGACCGCTGGCCCTCTCACAGTGGCTGAAGCTCTGCTGGGCGTCCACCTTCCCCGAGAGCGAGGTGTGCATGGCTCTACACACGTGGAAGACAGCCTTCACCAAGGGGTTCCTGTGGTGGGAGAGCAAGGTCATGCTCGGTGCAGCGATGTCCCTCAATTAACAAGGTGGAGACGGCTGACAGGGAACTGGATGAAATGCTGGCACGAGAGAGGAGCCGCTCGCCCACAGGTTTCTGGGAAAAGGTCTCCTTCTCTGCACGGGCCTTGAGTCTCCCTACAGTGCCGCTCCCCAAGAGGCCCGGGCTAGGCTGTCTCGCCTTCACCCTGGGACACTGAGGAGCTGCAGGAGGGGTCTGCAGGAGACCCTTTGGGCTACTGTGTGACTGTGAATCTGTACCCAGCCTGACATGGGAGGTAGGCGTGCAGCTGCGCTTGGTTCTCCTTGATGCTCTCTTCTTCTATCACTTAGTCCCCAGGATGCCTAACCTGGGGCAACCCCAACATGGCCACCCACACCTGTGCCCGGCACATGGGCTTTTTGGATGCCCAAGAAGGCCTACGCACTCAGTCACATCCAGAGCCTTGGGGACACGTTCTACTTCGGCAGAGTGAGTGCGCACAGCTGTATCGTCTCCTTGAAGCCAGCTGATAACCATGGTGACTGCGGATGTCCACCAGCGACAGACGACGTCTGGACCTGGAGGAAAGCAGAGCCACGTGTCATTCCAGCACCCATAGGAGTCGGCACAGGCACAGGACAATACAGATCAAGAACCTTAAAAATGTTGACCCCAAAAAACTAGTATCAGAGAAAAAAAGTTTAACCAAGAGGTCAGTTCTGACTCATAGTGACCCTGTACAGGGTCAGGGTTTCCAAGGAGCGGCTGGTGTGTTTGAACCACAAATCTTGTGGTTAGCAGTTCAGTGCATTAGTGCCACACCAAGACTCCACACGACAAGGTTTATTCTAATGTTATTTCCTAAACAGTTGGTAATCAAGAAAAGTGCTGTTTTCAAAGCATTTTTTCCCAATAAGCTCTTGTTAGAATCTTGTAATTTTTCTCTCTCTGAACTCAGTTTTCTCAACTGCAAAATTATACTACCAGTGACCCCACATGGCCCCCCTAGGGGGGACCAGGGAAGAGAAAAGAAACCGGAGCACAGCCTTCTCTAATCCGGGGAAGGAGGCCACGAGGTCAGTGGTCTGAGGAAGCCTAGCAGCCCTGTTTCTTGGAGGTCCCAGAAACCTGAGGGGTGGTGGCTGATGGGTCCCGGGGCACAGTGAGTCAGTGGGAGGCGGACAGGAGGCTCGAGAGGCGAGGTCTCTGCAGTAGTGGTGTCAGACCCTCAAGCAGCTACTAGCTCCCTTCTGAGGACGTGGCCCTGCACGAGGGACTCAGAAGGGATTCTCCAGTGTGACCCCCAATCAACCTTCAGGAAGGACCGACTGAAGAAAGCCCCAAGAGCCGTGAAACCTGCTGTAAGATGTGTACCGAGGGCTGACTTGAGCACGGAGCTGCAGGAGAAGGGCGGGGTCACAACCCCCACAGAGGTCACGAATGAATTCAGCAGCTTCAGGTGTGCCAGGGCACAGGAGAATTCACTGCAAGTAAGAGAGGCGTCTCGTCAGCACAGCACACACAGGGCAGGCCCAGGGCTACAGTCCCAGAGCTGGCAGGTCCCAGCCACACAAGGCACCTCATCCTCCTTCCCAGCTGCCCAGGTCTAGCCTAGAGCTCTGCTCGCACACTGCCTGGGCCTCTGGGCTGCCCTCCCCCATCCTTCTCGTTCCTCTTTCCCCAGTGAAATCAGACGTCTCTCAAGGCCCAATTTGGAAGTCATCCTCTTCCAGGAGTATTCTCATCTCCGTGCAAAAACGCGCCCTCCCCAGATGCACTCAAGCCAGGACTGTGGCACCTGTCCACCTCTGAGATCTTACTAGGTGAGGGAAAGGCTGTGCCCATGAACACATACGTGGCAGGATTGGCCTGGCACACTCCATGCAGCCCTCTGCTTCCATTTCTGACCCTCAGCAGATCACACCCCACCAAAAGGTAAACGAATCCCGCCCCCTTGACTTGCTCTGCACCTCGGAGGATGCGAGTAGCAGATCAGGGCTCAGGTGCCAGGTCCTGAGCACCACACAGGAGTGCTATGCCTTCCTGCCCACCCTGCACTAGGGCTTGAGGTGTGCCCGAGGCAGGGTTCTGGGGACCTTACCAGCTCTCCTCGTCCTGGGTGCCAGCTTTCTTTTTGGCCTGCGGCTTTACTAAGGCTTCCACAGCACACTCTAGCAGGTTCTCACAGAATGCCTGGTGCACCTGGGCAATGGGGTCAGCTGGAGGAGAGCAGAAGGGTTAAACGGGTCTTATTTGTGAACCCACTGTGCCTATACAGAGAAATACAAGAGTGGGGATCAGGTCCCCCATCCTAGACTGGGGAGGGGAGGGCGGTCATCACTCACACGGAGGCACCCAAGACTGGGGAGGGTGTGTGTGTGTGGGGGGGATTGGTTCTGATTTAGCTCATGTGTGTGTCTGTGTCTCTCTGCATCTCTTGGCATGATGCCACGAGCTGGAAGAGGACACACCAGGTGGACAGCTACGTCAGTGTCAGCGACATCTCTGTTCCTTGTGGCTCAGAACAGCCAGTACAGGGCTGAGGCTGCCACCACACTCAGGACTGTGAAGAACCAGCACTCCGGCTTTCCCAGAACCTTGTCATGGAACCTGTGAGTCAGCTGAGCAGACTCAACAAGGGGCCTTACAAAGCTCTGAGAGCTGGCTGTCACCAACAAGGCTCTGTATGACAGGCCCCAATCATGGTGTCTCTAACCCTTCTCTCCCTCACATGTGGTGGACACAGGGGCCACGATGTGAAGGCGGTGAATGCTCAGGAGCACATGTGACAAGGCCTGGGCTGGTGGAAAGTCTGGGATGGAGACACGGAACAGTCTGGGGGCACAGGGCAGGGAGTTTGAGGATAGTGTTTGCTTTCATCCTTACTTTGTGGTACTATCTACAAATGTTACATTGAGCAATGAACTTTTCAAAAAAAGAAAAGAAAAGAGGAACCCCCCAAATGTCTGTCACACACCCCATTACCAGCAAGCCATGGCACCCTCCCAGGGCTCTCGATTCCAGACGGTGGGGTTAAGCAAAGCAGAAAGGCACTACCTGCTCTATGCCAATGCCAACAGTCCAGTTGGCCGCAATCATGATCAAACACCAGGGACAGAAAGCCACTGTCTCTCCCGCTGCCTAGAGCCCTGTCCCTGCCACCACTCTGAGCACTTGATGACTGCCTGTCACCTATTGTTCCGCCTGATTTCCCACAGAAGACATGAAGCCCCAAGCCAGAGCTTCACCACAGGCGTCATGTGGCAGAGCGCTGAAAGGACCTCAGGAAGGCTACTTCCCTGCCTGGAGCCTCGGCAGCCGCCACTAGGAAAAGCCAACTGAGACGCCGTATCCCAGTTGTCTGGCACCTTGTAATGGTTCTCCTGGCTTTCTCAATCTCACCTGGATTCCTCTGGGCACAGTACAGACTCTCCTTGGCAGCCGACCTCACCGACCAGCTCCGCTCCATGAAAAACTTCTGGCCCAGGGGGTGGCAGAGCCAGCGCAGAGAGTCGGGGACGGTGCTGCGCTCGGGACCACACAGGCTCTGGGCACGACTGAGGAAGTAGCTCTGTGGAAGGACAAAGACTTGGGGTGACACCAGGGTGGCTGAATGCTAGCGACAGTCCCCATGGGTCTTCAGAAAGCCCCAAGATATAGGCAGGCGTGTGTTGGTTGTGTGTGCCAGTGTGTGCAGTGGGGAGAAAGGCCCTGTTACAAGTGCATACCTGAAGGAAGCAAGCCCTACCACTGAAACTGGGCAAAAGGGAGTCAGCTTGTCAGGAGGGCAAGGAAGGGCCTGAAGGCACACAGGGGTGGGTGGGTGGTGGGGTTCCTGCTACCTCCTGCTGGGATGGCCCAACTACTGGAACTGGGTGGCTTGCTGAGAAGGAAGGGTCTGCCCATCCACCAGACAGCTCCCTTCGCTCAATCCTGGGACCCAATTTCTTTGTATGCCAAGAGCCTCCGGTCTTGAATTTTTCCTCCCCTGTCACTTTGATGACAATCTTTAATAAGAGTACTGCTCGCAACATTTTATTCTGTTTTAAGGAAGTTTTCATTTCCTTCACCTCGAGTGTGATACTGTGGGCCTGGCCCACAGGAAGCAATCAGGGAGCATGAATTAGTTCTCAGATCCCACAGCCAGCTCTCCAGGGGGAAAGGGGCCGTGGTGAGGCTTGTCCTGGACTCCTGGACCTTCGTTAGGGTGTCAGTGTGTGCCTGAATGAGATGCTCTCCTCCTTCAAACAGATTCTCCCAGGGCTTGTCTGGCCCTCTACAGAGACCCTCAAGCTACCCCCAGATGAATCCCCTGATGTGAGAAAGGACCAGGAGACGAGCGTGGCTTGGAAAGCTCTCTGTTGGGCAATTCGAAGAGCTGGTACCCCAGTAACCAAGAACTGCAGGAACAACACCGTCAACTACTGTCTGAGAAATGACACCATTTTCCGAGTGAAGAGATCCTAACTCTAAAGCCATGATTCCTGACCCACTGGATACAGGCCCCTCAAAACAAGGAGCAGGCACAGAGTTGGGGTGCCCAGGGAGGGGCTTCTGGGACGAGGTCCCTAGACTTCAACCTTCACATGCACGTGGGCTTCCTCCGAGGGCTGGCAGGAGACGACGGATGGACAGAAGGTAGTTCTTCACTGTCTGGGCTCCATCTGATGGCTGTGACCTTCACTACACTCTTAAGCAGCCATCAGCTAGTCTAACAGCATCAGAAGACTTGAATGCCAGATTCAGAAATAGCAGCATTCGGTGTCACTCAGGGAACCTGTGATGAGAGGGCTGGCTCTTTCAGGGATTCCCCGAGGAGCACACTACTCCATAGACACACAGGGACATGATCGCAGGCAGCAAATGGGCTTGTTCCAGGCCAGAGGCACTGAGGGCTTTCCCTCCCCTTTGCTGACCCCTGTCTGGGCTAAGGGGTTTGGGATAGCAAAGGCAGGAAATTCCAGAACCTTTTCCTGACCCTCCACAGAGTGTGTGCCGAACCTGAGCTGGGAATGGCAATGGAGGCAGTGGCAGCTGAGGGGTCTGGCAGGATGGAGGTTCGGTGGGTGGTACGCAGGCTCTCTGAAGTCCCAGGACCTGCTAACAGTTGTTGTCTGGACACAGGCCTGGCATGGAAGGAGGCTGGGGGCTGGCTCTAGGGACCCTAGGACCAAGGGGCCCTCAGATGGACTCAAGAGTCACCCACAGAAGAAACACAGCTTAGGCAGGTAGTATACAAGACAAACTCAGAGAAGCCACGAAGAGCATCATTAAGTGAAAACATATTTTTAAGCTTAATTCTTAATAAAGGAAAGAAAGACTTTAGTTATAACCAAGCTCAGTGTGTGTGAGGAACTTGAGTTTAGTGGTTGAGACTAATAAGAAATATAAATCCTGGGATACAGTCATCCACATTATGACTGTGAAAAAAATTGAGAAAATAACTTTTGTTGCTCTTTTAATTTTCTTACCATGAAAGTCTATAATAATTTCCCTAAATTTTATAGACAAGGGAAAAAATCCAGGATGGGGCCTAGGAATCCCTTCCCCTATAACTCACCGTGCTAATGGACCAATGTGAGAGAGACTTAGTAGGAGATGTGCCAGCAGAGCTGTTTAAACCCTCACAGAAGCCCCGCTCCTCTGCACGGCCAGTTCTAGCTCCAGAAAGCACCTCCAAGCACCATGCTGGATTCCCAGGGCACTGACAGGGCTTTTTCAAAGGTGAGGGAGATGGAGCAATAGAGTGCAGCTGCTCCATAGGCCAAGTAATGGATTGCCAACCACAAAGTCCACGGTTCAAGCCTGCCACTTACTCTGTGGGACAAAGATGAAGCTTTCTGCTTCTGCGAAGATTTAAAAGCCTCAGAAATTCTATACAGGGTCGCTATGAGTGGGGACCAACTCCATGACACTTCACGACAAAAACACCACAGCAGTACGCAATGCCACTAGCTGGGTACCATGCAAATTATGCAACTGAGGCCCAGAGGAGTGAAGTGGGATCTGCTGTTGAGACTGAAGTGGCGTAGTGGTTACAAATCGGGCTGCTAACCTCAAGGTCGGCAGTTCGAAACTACCAGCTGTTCCGCGGGAGAAAGGCTTTCTGCTCCTATAAAGATTTGCAGCCTCGGAAACCCTGCACCCTAAATCAAGAATCGGGGAACCTCTGGTTTGCACTAGTTTTGGAAGTCAGCCTTTCACTTGTCCTCGATACCTCAGTGAAGACTCATTTACTACCAAAATACGAGGAGGCTTCCAAAATTCATGGAAAAATGGAGTAAAAAGATAATGAAATTTTCCCAAGACTTTTTGAAGTCCCCTCCATTAGCTCAACAAATTCTAAGCTTCCTCTTCTTTACTGTCTGAAGCAGCAAACGATGACAGAGGCAGCTGCTCTCTCAGAGACCACAGCTACCTTTGCCCACTTGACCGGGGAATGTAATTTGGTAAGACCATTAACGTTCCAATCATTTCTACTCTCTGCCCCAGCCTCTCCACGTCTGGGAGTTTGTGTGGAGACAACATACAATGGACGCCCCCTGTAGCACTGTTGGTTAACAGAAAAGGCTGGAAAGAACCCACATGTCCACAACCGAGACCCAGTTCAGCCACTGGTAGTGTTTACAGATGCTGGAATACCAAGTACCTCAGTAGAACAAGGCTGACAATCATTACGCTGAAAAAATCAAGTGGCAAAACAGGGCTTATGGCATGAACACATTTTATCTAAAAATGTATCCATCTCTTCTAAGGTTTCAAATTTGTTGGAGTACAACTCTTCTTAGTGTTCTGTTATTATCCTTTTGATTTCCTTTGGTTCCATTGTGACATCACCCATGTGATTTCTAATGCATGTTATTTGTGTCTTCTCCCTCTTTTCTTTTGTTATGAGCACATTTTAAAGAATTATAAAAATCTGACACTATCATGTTTTGATAGAGTCTTGGTGAGGCACCATAGGATAAGCACTAGACTGGTAACCACAAGGAAAGGATGGCGCTTCCAACGCCCCAGCTGCTCCTTGAAAACCCTATACTGGGCCGCTATGAGCCGGAACCAACTCCACATAATAACAACAACATCATGAGTGCTATATTAACATGGGACTGCAAACCACAAGGCCAGTGGTTTGAGTTCACCAGTTGCTCTGAGGGAGAAAGATGAGGCTTTTTGCTGCAGCAAAGATTTACAGCCTTGGAAGCCCTGAGCTGAAATTGACTCACCAAAGCACTTAATGACAGCTTATGTGTTCATGAGGCTGTGGAACAATAGGAACTCTTATATACCTCTGCTAACATGAACACTGGAGTGCTGCTGTTGCAATGCACGCTAGCACACTGGACTGCAAAGTTGGTTTGAATCACAAGGTCGGCTGTTCAAACTCACCAGCTGCATCTCGGAAACTCTACACTGGGTGGCTATGAGTCAGAATCAAATCAATGACACACACCAACATGGAAGTTGGTACAACCATTTTGGTAACCAGTCAGGAACTATCTGATACAGCTGAACCTATGCAGACCTACTACCCCAGCCAAGTCATTCCTAGGTACACATGCAATAAAGGTGGAGTCTCCTGTTCAGAAGGACACAGAGGGGTGCTGAAGGCAGCACTATCTATGCACATAATCAAAACCCGGATAAAAGGGCCACCTACAATATAGTCTAGTCATTCAATGAAATACTACAGAAGAAGGAGAAAATCAGTCTAGAACTACGTGCAACAACATACATACATCTTTTACAGAATTCTGAGTGAAAGCAGCTTGACACTGAAGTACATATTGTATGATCCTTGTTGTTGTTGTTGATGTTAAGGGTCATCTTCCTAGGTTTCCCAGGAGCGGCTGGTGGGTTTGAACCGCAGACTCTGTGGCTAAGCAGTCTACTGCTTATCCTACAGTGCCACACCAGGAATCCATGACTCTCCTCATGTAAGGTTTAAATAGGTTTAAGTAGTGGCAAAGCATCTGAGACGTCAGGAATCATGCATGTGGTCACCCTTGGCTGACTGTGAAGGGACCAGAGGGAGGTTCCCCGGCTCTGGGTCCAGCTCTGCCTCTGGATCCACTGTGAGCTGTATGGGAGTGTTTACCATGTGAACATGCATGGAGTTAATGGTATTTATGATCTATGGACTTTTCTTTATGGACATTACATTTCAATAAAAAGTTTACAGAAATAATAGGAGGCAGACAGAATCCACAATAGTGGTTACCATGGTGGTGGGGGGACCCTAAAGGGACTTCTGGGAGTGCTGGTGCTATGGGTTAAACTGTGTCCCCTCAAAAATACATGCTGTCAGCCCTAACCTCTACACTCCTGGCTATCATTCCATCTGGGAATGGGTTGCCTCTGTTATGTTAAGGAGCAGGATTAGCAAAGGGCTTATTTTAAATCAATCTCTTTTGAGCTATACAAGAGATAGAGAGAGACACACACAGAGAGAGAGAGAGAGAGAGAGAGAGAGAGAGAGAGAGAGAGAGAGACACAGAGAGATGGGGGAAGGCCACAAAAAGCAGCTCAGAAGAGACCAGGCCCTTTCTCCAGACAAACACAAAGAGAGAAAGACTTCCCATAGAACCAGTGCCCTGAACTCTGACTTCTAGCTCCTAAACTGCTGCAAAAGATAGCAGTTTGAAGACTAGGGTACATCTGATCCAAGCCATGGTATTTTCAATGCCTCATACACAAATAAAAGTTGGACAATGAATAAGGAAGTTCGCAGAAGAATCAATGCATTTGAGTTACAGAGTTCGAGAAGAATATTAAAAGAACCACGGACTGCCAGAAAACAAACGCGTCTGTCTTGGAAGCAGTGCAGCCAGAATGCTCCTTAGAAGCCAGGATGGAGAGGCTTAGTCTTTCACACTTCAGACACACTCTCAGGAGAGACCAGTCCCTGGAGAAGGACATCATGCTTGGTAAAGTGGAGGGACAGTGAGAAAGAGGAAGACCCCAAGGAGACGGATTGAGCAATGGGTTCAAAAGTAACCACAATGGGGAGGCGGGCCCAGGAGCAGGCAGTGTTTAGTTTGTTGTGCACATACAGTTGCTATGAGTCGGCACCAGCTCGACAGCATCTAACAACAGCAAACTGTGAGAGGATCACAGTGTGATTGCTGAAGCCACCGATGCGGGGCATTTCTATACAGCAGCACCAGATAAACTGAGACAACTTCTTCATCTGGGTGCTTGTTCCATGGGTGAGTTCACTTGGTGAAAATGTATCAATCTGTAAACGAAAATGTGTGTCTTTCTGTACGAAGGGGCTTTTAAAAGTTTGTGGAAAAATGGAATTAGAAGACAGCAGAGTTTTTCCAGGAACTTTTTGAAGCCACTCATACGTACCTTACATTTCAACAACAGACATTTCTTAAAACACTTTTTTGGAGGCATAGAAAAGTGTGGTCCTGGTCCCAGAGCGCCAGGGCAACCCAACCCAGACTGGTAGGGGCCCGGTCAATGGTTCCTAGACTCACCTTTTCCAGAAAGCCCCCCATGATTTCCTCCAAGATTAGGTGAGGGGCCACTGCATTTCCACTAGAAAGTGCCGACCCACAGAAGGCACTCTGCCGTACTTGCTGAATGACGGAACCGATCAAAAGATGTTTTATCCAGGGTTAATAAGCACAGGAATGCTGGGCTTTCCCATGGCCTTCGTCACCCAAGACCCATGCCACACTTCAGGAACATGTACCAGGGTCACCCACAGGACACATGCCTGCGTCCTTGTTCAAACCCAGCTCATCACCACCATTCCGGGAAGGGCAAACCGACCACTGGCATGGTTTTGTTCTGAGCACATCTGATGCACTCAGCAGCCTCTCAGAGTGGGGTGTGGAGTAAAACCCATCTGCTTCTGCCAGAGGAAATGGGAGCCTGAGGGGACCAGTTGATAACAAGAACCACAGATTCCACAACTGTGATCCCCCAGCCTGGCGTGCAGGTGGCAATGAGCAGCTAGGCCCACCATAGTGTGTGCAGGCAGGGGGAGCAGCCAGGCCCACCACAGTGTCCAAGAAGTGCACTTCCAACCTGTCTGACCCAAGCTTCTTGACACACACACTGCTGAGACTCACACAAGGTAGGCAATAAATACCTTCTGTGTAAATTAAAGGACCAAATGGCATAACTGGAAGACCCCAAGAATTTTTATGATCCCTTGACCAGCAGAAGAGTTGCGTATTAACCCTTGAGCTATGGGTCACTCTGTGTACTGATTCAACTTTCTCGTCTCAGGGCACCAAAATGCCCTGCTTACGAGTCCAATAGGCTAGTAGGGGCCTTGAGGGACGGCATCTTGCTTGAGCTTGTTCACTGTCGTGGAACGGCTGATTGACAGAATGTCTGCCCCAGAAGGTGGGAAGCCCTGAGGGCAGCCTGGGCCTCTGAGTTTGCCTCCTTAGCATCTATCTAGCTGGGGGTAAGGTGCTTGGCAGAGGTAAGTAGACAAGAACAGAAGGTTACTCACGGCCAGGAAGCCCAGCTGGCCTCCACAGCGGGTCTGGAGGCCAATGGCGGCAGTCAGATGGATCTCAACCAGTGTGCTTGGTGGGATTTTCTCCTCAGCACACTCGGCCAGGTTGACGGCGCACAAGGCCATGTGCACGTCTGAACAGGCGGATCCTGCAGGCAGCTTCCCTGAGGTGTCAGAAAACAGTCACGGATGTTGGCAGATCCCCTACACAGAAGGTGCCCGACCTTCTAGCACCATCAGAGGAGCACCAGAACTTAAGACCACCCAGGGGCCCTGAGTCGGGGGTTCAGCCTCAAGGCTTAGTAGCTGCATCTTCCTTGCGCCTTGCAGGGTGGGTGGGGGCAAGAGAAAACGCAGTTCGAGGGCCACACTGCAACACGTTCTCAAACAGCTCGACAGCCTGGCCACGTCCTGCTAGTATAATCCTCTGCCTCTAGAGCTCCAAGAAGTAACAAGAAATTAAACCCCTGATTTGAATTTACATTCCTTAAATAAACAAATCAACCAACCTACAACAAAGCCACCACAAAATATAAGCATGTACCGTTAAAGGGGAGAAATAACATACAACTGAGCAATGACAGGGCTGGACACATCATGGGTCAGCAGCTACTTCCACACTTGGGTGACCATGAAGTCAGGGAACAAAGTCACAGCCTGGAGGACAAGTCTGCCTGCCCCCGGGCATTCTCACTGTCTCTGACTGGTCCTCACTGCACAGGTGGGGAGGTCAAGAAGTAGCCTCAGTTGTGATAGGGAGGGGAAGCCTTAGGGGTGACCAGGGGACCAAATAGGTAGAGCCAGGCCTCCTGGTCTCTCCCAGCATGGCACCGCGCCCCTGCTTTCACACCTCACTCAGTACCTGTTAGTCGATGTGTGTCTCCTCTGGGGTTAAGGGCAGAGGACACTGTGGGAACCCCTATTGTTCACCTTTGTCCCCCGCTCAGTGCCTGGCTCAGTAACTGTGGAGGGGATGTGTGCTGTGAAGCTGCCTCCTGTGCAGTCCCCCAAGGGTATGCTGAGGGGCAGAGAAGGAGCAAGCAGGGATGATCTAAAGATGGCACTGAACATCTGTCTTCAGGTAAATGGTACCCTACCAGGGCCACATGGTTCTCTTCCTCCTGCCCTTCACTGGCTCCTACTAGCCTGGCAAGCAGACAGCTCAGGGCCCCGATGCTGCCACCGTCCCTTTGCCCTGGCTCCCAGCATTCGAGCTCCCCAGGGCCACTCCAGGGAGGGCGTCTCCTTTTGGACATTGGGCCTTCCTCAGAGCTGCTGAAGTCTATCCACCCTTCCATGCAGAGCCGAGACTTGGCCTCCCCGGAAAGCCTTTCCTGCAACCTTCACAACAAGTGCTCTCTCCCCACATAGACTAGTCTATCTGCCTGGCTGCCTTCCTATTAAACTGGGCGTCACTGAGTAAAATAAATCACAGTGAATCTACAGTGTCATCAATTTCAAGTGTCACTACAATTCAAGCACCACCAAGAAGGAAAAAGCCCATGCCAACCAAACCATGCCATGCCATTGTTCACAGGATGCCCCCAAATGCAGGGATATTGCAAGAGGCGCACCTCAGAGTGATAAACCTCAGTAACGAGCCACCCCACGGCTGGGGCAATAGGGCTCCACTGGGGCCCAACACTGGCACACCACCCCCAGGTGGTAAGATGCCATGAGCACCTGGTACGAGGCACGTCAGGTGTGGTGGCTCCCTCACCTGTGATGTGCAGCTGATGCAGCGTGTGGTAGGCCAGGGCTGCATCCCGGGCGCTGGTCTTGGCTTCATCTTCGCAGCCTGCAGCAGTGGCTGGGGTGGCCCGCCGGCGCTGGAAGACCTTCTTGAGCAGCCAACGCACCAGGCGTAGCTTCTGCAGGCTGTAGCGGATCACATTCCAGGAGAGACTGCAGGCCAGGTCGAGGCGGGAGGTGGGCAGGGCTCGGCCCAGCACCGACAGGCAGGTCTGGAGGTTGGTGGCAGCAGCTACAAAATCCCCCTAGAAACCAGCAAGAGGTGGTGATGCCATGGCCTTGCGTTCTTTAAAAATAATTTTGTTGTTGAGAATATACACATACCAACAATTTCCATATGCACACTTCAGTGACACTGATGACATTCTTCAAGTTGTGGAACCATTCTCACCTCCCCCTGGTGGCCTAAACCCACTGCCCCTAAGGTTCCCATCTAATCTTCTGAGTTGCTGTTGTCACTTTGGTCCCATGTAGATAGTTCTCAAAAGAGCTTACCCAACAAGAATTTGTTTTTCTTTTTGCTACGTAAGCTGAACGGCTATTTCTGGTTTAAGGTGTAAAGATGATCTTAAGGCAATAGTTTCAGGGTACCCCAGAGACAGCCCTACTACTCTGATGCATTTCCTCTCAAGCTGTTTATTAAGCTGGGCTGTGCTTTATGCAGACACCATTCAGTTTCCCACAGAAGCGCCTATATATAAGCTGATGACACAGATTTTGATGATGAACTAGATGATCAGGCGCTCAACTGTGGTGTCTGGACACTAGCAGCATCAGCCTCACCTGGGAACTGGTTTGTTGTTAGGTACCATCGAGTCGGTACCAACTGACTCATAGTGACCCTATGCACAACAGAATGAAACACGGCCAGTCCTGGGCCAACCTCAAAATCGCTGCTATGCCTGAACCCACTGCTGCTGCCACTGTGCCCATCCATCTCGTTTGTCTTCCTCTTTTTCTCCGATCCTCCATTTTACCAAACATGATGCCCTTCTCCAGGGACAGGTCCCTTCCTATAACATGTTTGAAGTGTGAGAGATGAAGTGTCACCATCCTGGCTTCCTAGCAACACTCTGGCTGTACTTATTCCAACACAGATCTGTTTGTTCTTTTGAAATGGTTCAACATCAACCATTTCCTTTTGGTACAGTGACTCTGTGTATTCCTTCCATCTTCTTTTGACACTTTCTGCATCATCCAATATTTTGACCATTTGTTGCTGTTAATAGAAACCTTCAAGTTGAGGCTTGAATTTTTTCTTCAGTTCCCTCAGCTCGAGAAATGTTGCGCATGCTCTTCCTTTTTGGTTTTCTAACTCCGGGTCTTTTCAGATTTCATTATAATATTTGACTTTGTCTTCTCGAGCCGACCTTTGAGATTCTCTGTTCAGCTCTTGTACCTCCTCACTTCTTTTGTTTGCTGTAGCATCTCTATGCTGGAGAGCAAGTTTCAGAGACTCTTTTGACATTCATTTTGGTCTTTTCCTTTTTTCTTGTCTTCTCAATAACCTTTTGCTTTCTTCCTCTATGATGTTCTTGATGTCACCACACAACTCTTCTGGTTTCGATCTTTAGTGTCTAATGCATCAAATCTGTTCTTCAGATAATCTCTAATTTCAGGTGGAACATATTAATGGTCATACTTTGGCTCCTGTGGACTTGTTTTAATTTTTTCAGCTTCAGTCTGAATTTGCATATGAGCAATTGATGGTCTGTTCCAGTCTGCACCTGGCCTTGTTTTGGCTGATGATATGGAGTTTTCCACAGATGTAGTCAAGTTGATTTCTGCGTTTTCCATCTGGTGAGGTTCATGTGTATAGTCGTCTTTATGTTATTTTAAAAAGGCAAAATTCTACTATGCCATCTCCAGCATCATTTCTATCACCAAGGCCATATTTTCTAACTACTGATTCTTCCTCTTTGTTTCCAGCCTTTGTAATCTAACTGCCAGTATTCTTCAATTTCACCATCAGCGGCTTTAGTGGTTGATGCTAAATTTGAATAGTGGTGTTAAACATGTGACTGTCAGATTCAAATGGCCAATACCAGTCCATTTCAGCTCACTAATGCCTGAGATATTGATGTTTACGTGTTCCATTTCATTACTGCAGATTTCCAATTTTCCTAGCTTCATACATTCCATGTTCCAGTTTAATAATTGGATATTTACAGATGCTTTTCTTTCAGTTGTGCCCCATCAGTAAATGAAGGGACTTCCTCAGCCCCACAGCCTGGCCCTCTCCTCAGCATTAACATGTGTCCCTGGCGCTCCTCACTCCACACAGGCCTCTCCAGAACAGCATGGCACGTGGCCTGCACAGAGCCTGCCATGTTGCTGTTTGCCCTTCTCTGGATCAATGTCACGATCAATTCTCTTCCTTTTTACATCTCAAATGTTCCTTGGGTGCACAGCTCTCCTGTCATCTCAGGTCCTTGCCGTCTGGCACCTGGCCCCCTGTGAGAGACCCGACCCTGCTCCTGCACAGTTCACGTCTTTCCCCTTCCATCCATCCTCCTTCAGCCACCAGTTCACAGACCTGGACCTGCTCTAGGAGATAGATCCGGGGATGTCCTTCAGGGAACACCCCTGCTTCATGGCAGAGCCTCTAACCGTCACATCTATGTGACGTCCTGGTCATGGCTGACAGGCCCCAAACGGTCAATTAGACTCTCGACAGTGCAGCTTGGGGGAAGGGGGCAGGCCCATGGTTTTCTGCACCTGAGATGCCTTAAGGCTTAATGGTCAACTCTTCCTTCAATGCTGTGAGCTAGCCCAGAATTCTCCCACATACACCCTCCTTGGCTGACAGTTAGCTAATCCACCTGCTCAAAAACTTTCTTTGGTTCTCCACAGAAGTGGGACTAAAACTTCAAATCAGTTCCTACTCAGAGCTCTCTCTCTGCTGGCCTGCCAGCCTCAGACTTTAATTTCTCCTGACACATCCTAGTCTTGACACAGTACCTGTCTACTTGTTAGTCTCCCAAATACCCCTGCATTTTCATCTCTCTTCACAGAAGGTCCTTCTATGTTCACTGGCAGCAGCCCTTCCTGCCCTCTAAACTAGAACTCATCTCTTCTGCCCCAGCCCTCTACGGCCCTTTATTTTTTCTGTCACCCACAGACTGTAATCATCTAGGTTCTTGGAGCTACTCCCGCATAGGTGCTCTTCCTCCCCTTAGCTACAAGCACCCACCTCAGGGCTGTGCAAGGCAGACACTCTGCACACACAGCTGGGATCCTGGGCTGAGGCTGGGGGAGGAAGGGGAAGGAAATGGCAGACCTTACCCTCGCAAGGTCCAAGTCCGCCTGCTTGCGGTGTCTCCAGAAGGTGACTGAGGAGCGAGAGTGTGGTCGGATCACCGGCTCCCCGTGCACCAGAAGCTTCACGAAGACGCTCAGGACGATCACACCGTTGACCAGCCACAAGAGGAGCGTTGGCATCATCCAGTCAAACCAGCTCCCAGAACCTAAAGAGACGCACCTTGCTGAGCCCGTGAGGAAGGGCTTCCTGGGAGAGCCCGGGGAGACTGAAGGGACGGCTGACTGACCCCAGAGTAGTGACAGCAAAGAGCCTCATTTTGCGAAGAAAGGGCAGGACCATCTGATGGCTTCCTTTAATAGCAAATGGCCAAGAACTTGGAATAGGAGTAATAAAGGCACTTCAATCCACACTTCAGGCACACTGGGGACAATTTTACAGCAGATGTGTGAGCCCCGTGGCCTTGTCTTTATAGAGCTGAGTGCCATAAAAATCTTTTGTTGGTCAAAGGTCATTAGGACTGAGGTAAAAGCACATCCTTCCTCAAAAAGGCCCGTCCCCCTGCCCCCGCCCTAAGGACGGGTCCTGGTTTGTTTTGTTCTTTCTGACCAAACTTGGGTGTGCCTTACTTCCTACATGTGACTCTCAGTCCCTGTCAGGGGCAGACAGGTAGACACCACCACAAAAGCCCTCGGAACCTGGGGGGTTAAGCCATAATAGTATACACAGTGACTCCCCCCGACCCTCCAATCCACCAGGGCCCTCCCCTCACCTGACTCAAAGGACAGTATGCTGCGGCTGGAGCCTGAATGTGGGTAAGGGTCCGAGTCCCGGGACCCTCCCCACTGCAGCAGGGACGTCAGGGGGTTAAAGGAGAGGCACAGGAAGGTGAGGAAGCACAGGAAAATTCGAGAGCGGTCCACCATGCCCAGGGCCACAGGCGGCGAGTCCGGCTCATCTTTGACCTGAAAAGAGAACCACCAGGTCCCGATGAGCACAGTGGGGGCTCTGATGTCATTTTAGTTTCACATACATCAGAAGTCGACAAAACTAAAGGCCATTAAGAGAGAAACCAGACAGGAGGAAACTGAGTCAATGATTCACAAGCTGCTGCTGGGACAATGGGTACGTGGCCTCCTGCTGACTAGGAAGGGACTGACAGGTGTTCTTAAGAGGGGAGGGGCCCATGAGAGCTCATTGTCACACAGAGCTCCCTCACAAAGGAGAACATGCTGTCTGAGCTTGCTTCTACAAAGAAGCAGCAGATGTAATTCAATCGATGCAAAGCCTGTCAGTGGGCAGGGGCTGAAGGAAGGCATGGCAGAGACGGGCGCATGGGTCTGTGACCCCGCCCCCCCACAAAAATGGACAAAGGAGCTTTCTGCATTGATGACAAGGTTTCACCTTCTGATTACAGTGCTAGGTTACAGGGGTTTTATATTTGTCAAGGTTCATCACATAGGTCTGTTTAATTGCATATGAATTGTTGTTGTTAAGAGCCTTTGAACTGGTTCTGACTCAAAATGACCCTGTATAGGGCTTCCAAGGAGTGGCTGGTGAGTTTGAACCGCCGATCTTGTAGGTTCAAACTGACCTTTCAGTACAGTGCTAATCCTACAGCGCCACACCAGGACTTAATAAAGCTGATTAAAGACAGAACAGCTCCCCACCCTCATTTTAGGGAGGAAGAACTGAAGGCAGAGACCCTATTCTTCCCCTACCCTGGGGTCCTGGATCCCACAAGGAGGGAAGGACGATGGATGGAGTGGGGTCTACTGCGACCCTCTTTTTCCAGTGTTTAAAGACGGTGGGAAAGTTCTTTTGATGACCCACTTCTTGTTAGCTGCTGTGGAGTCAATTCCAACTCATGGCACCTCCACGTGTGCAAAGTAGAACACGCTCCGCAGGATTTCCAAAGGAGCAGTGGCCTGGCCTGCCTTCTGAGGCTCCGCTGAGTGGGTTTAAACAGCTGATCTTTCAGTTGTTAAGCACTTAAGCATTTGCATCATCACCCAGGCACTCCAAAAGCCTAGTGAATTCTACTTACGTGTCATATGGCCTGTTGTTACCAAACAGAACCACGTTTATAAAATATTTCAAAAGCAGAGTCTCCTTAGTGCAGTTAAGTCCATGTCTACAATAAACTGTTTGATTAAAGGAGTCAGCCATCACTAATGTCAAAGTACAGTATGGAACACAGTGGTCTCCACAGGTTCTCAAGAACATCATTAGGCTTTAAGGCTCTCTTAACTAACTCCATTAAACCAAATTGCCAGCAGCTTTCAGTGACTCTAAAAGACACTTGGCTTGAATGCTATCTGTAAGACTGCAAAATGCAATCATTTCCAGAAAGAGGACCCAAAACAGCAGCCTCGTCCTCAACCAACCAAGCGACTGACCTCACAAAGTGGCTGCCAGGCCCATTAGAGGCAATTCCCAGAGCCCACAGCAGCTGTGAGGGTCCTGTTTTGGATCTGGCTCTTATTTCTCTCTGATGGGCCTTTTCAGCGAGAACTAGTTAAAGCTTGCTTTCCCCACAGGAGCTCGGTTCTCCTTCTTCACTTGCCTGGAGCTGGGTAATTTCACAGAGCCTGACTCCTCTGAGCCCACGGCCCCGCCCTGGTCTGTGGCCTGATTTCTTAGGGGAAATGGAGAGATGCCAGGGGCCAGGAAATGTCAAAAAGTTCAGACCTTTGCATCATCCAGCAGAGGACTTCCTGGCTCTGAGTCGATGGAGTAAGGGGAGAAGCCCGCTTGGGACCCTGACTCTGAGGCTGGGGGTGACATCAGAAGGACATTCTGGTTAAAGTCATCCATCTTCAGGTCCACGTCATTGTCCACCAGGCTGCCTAGGTCGATACCCTTCAGGAGCTCTGTAAAGAAACACCCTCTGGTAAACAGTCTGACTTCACAAAGCCTCACCCGGGCCAGGGCTGGTTTGGATCAGGGATGCATGGCCTCCATTCCCGCTTCCCCCTTCCAGGGCCCAGCATGGGTTTCCCACCTAGCCGATGGGCTCACTCACTGGCTTTCTGATTTGCCAGCTTCAGCACCATGTTCTCCTGGCGCAGTTTATGATTGACCTGCTGCAAGTATTTGATGTAATCGATGGCTTTCCTCAGAACGCCAGACTTGTGCATCTGGGAAGGGGGACAGGTGAAGACCACAGGGAAGTCAGTGTGCGTGGAACAACCGCAGAGCACAGAGCCCACTGATGGGGGGAGCTTGGGGCTGCCGACCTGCTCAGGAGTGAGACACGTTCCTTGCCATCTCTGACCCTCACCTACCCCCCATTCTCAGTACGTGAACCACAGGCATGCAATGAAGGCTGAGATCATCCACAGAATGAACTTCACGCTGAGCCTGGCGCAGTGACGACAAATAAATGTGAGGCGGCTTCAGAAAGTTTGCAGAAAAATTCCACGCCTTCTAATTCCAACTTTCCATGATCTTTTTGAAGCCCCCTTACAAACATGAGCTATCTTTCCAAATTCTTATGATAGTACTGTCTCCGCAACAAACTTAAAACAAATGACTAACAAAACATATGAGCGTTCTTTGGGTGGTTATCTTAATGGTGTATTAATACCTTTAGGATTTATAGGCTACAATGAATAAAATTATTTTTCAAAGTGGGGGTCAAGGCAAATAGATAAGAGGTTAAAAAAAAAAAAAAAATCTCCTAGCTAAACAGATAAGAGGTAAATATCTCCTTTCCCTGGAGACTCAGTCACTAAAACACCAAAAACATGCATTGTAGGAAATCTTTTTTTCTTAGCTATTTGTCTAAGACCAAGTCTCCATTTTCCATCTCCCTCCCCAAAAAGGTAGCAATAGCCCCCTCAAACACCACCCCCTGAACTCCAAGGACACAAGCCTGTGAAGGCATCAGATGACCTCTAGATATATACAGTCCTGCCCCTGACCCCAGGGTGGCAGCTGTCTCTCTAACACTGCAGAGCAGAGCCAAAGGTCAAGTAGCCCACTGTCTTTTCCAGCCTCCCACTGGGGAATGGCTTACCACCTTGACAAGCATCCAGGCGCTTTAATAAGCACGTGCCTGTCTGTAACTCCCTGCATTCCCTTAGCGTGGACCTGGACTGTGCAACCTCTTTCTTAGGCCCCGCCCACATCTAAGCCAGGTTGCAGAGAGAGTGTCAGGCACCATTTTGCTTGGAACTTACTTACCTTAGCATCGGATCCCATGACTAGGTCCTTTAACTCGATGATTTTGTCATTGATGGAGGAGCGATAGCGCTTCTCAATGATGTTGTGTGTTGTCCGTCTTTCTCCTTCTTTGGGGGGTTCGAGCTGCTTGATCCCACCCGGTACTTGCTTAATGGGCACTTTTTCCTGCCCCATCATCACAGGCATTGTGGTCAGAATGGTCCCACTGCTGCCCACCAGGGTCTAGAACAGGCAATGAGACAGAATGCTACCTTCAGCGGTCTGAGCCAAGCAACCTCACAACACACATCTGCTCTTCCTTGAACACGTGGCATCACGTGGCAACGCTTCACGCAGCCTGAGGCCCTCCCAGGATGAGTTTAGTCACGTCCAAGGAGTCTCAGGAACCACCATGGCACCTACACCGCTGGCTCCCTCCCAGAACTGCTGTCTGCTCATTGCACCACAACAGGGTTAATATCGCAACGCCGTAACCTTTGATGGGCGGGTGCCAGGAACAAGCCCTATGACTTCTGCTTGGCTGTCAAACTGCGAACCAACCTCTCAAGTCATGCTCAGTGCATCATAGGTGCACTTTCTCCAGGTATCTGACACATTTACCCTCTAAGGCGACAAGGAACTTCCTGCATTTCGTTATACAATTTGGCTACCAAAAAGCTCAGAGCAGAACACTTTCAATTGGAGCAACTGAATGAAATAAACGAACCAGCGCATAGTCTATCCCTTTGTTCCTCAACCCTGCTTCCTCCTTTTTTTTTGGTTTTAAATACCCAATAAAAAGACATGTATCCTAAGTGTCCAGCTTGATGGGTTTTTATGTAGGTATACTATGCCTGTCTAGCCACCCAGAGTGAGAGAGAGACCACATCCCTCCCCAGTTAACAGCAGTAAACACTGCTCTCATGTCTTACTATAGCTGAACTCTGCCTCTTTTTGTATAACTTCAGTGTGTGTACACACCACAAGTTATTTATCTAGTTGCTGGTTGATGGACATTTGGGTTGTATCCAGATTTGGGTTTTTATGCACAAAGTCAGTGCTTTCAAATTTGAAATTCCTTTTCCTGTTGTCTGTAGGGTTGCTGCAAGTCAAAATCAACCCAACATCAATGGGATTTGTATTTTTCCCTCTATCAGACTCTTTTGCCGTAGGCGGCTGAAAGCAGCAAAGTGCCCACATCCGAAAGATGGGATGCTGCCTTGAGCCCCTCTCCATACCTGGTGGCCCCAATGACCTTCAGATGCCAAACCTTCCTCAGCAGGACCTGAGAGGCAGGTAGCCCTAGGTGGAGCTGCAGCCCAAGAACTGGGGCCCCTCTGCTATTCTTCCCTCCCCCTGTGTGGGCCCCGTTATTGCGAAGTGCCATTGAGTTGGTTCTGACTCATGAAGACCCTGTGTAAGATTTTGGCGCTCTGGTAGGGTAGTGGTTACGAGTCAGGCTGCCAACCTCAAGGTTAGCAGTTTGAAACTACCAGCTATTCTGTGGAGAAAGATGAGGCTTTCTGCTCCCATAAAGATTTACGGCTTTCGGAAACCCTGTGCAGGGTCACAATGAGTTGGAACCGACTCCATGGTACCTCTAGAATTTATAGGCTACAAAGGATAAAAAAAAAGATTTTTGGAGGCTGTAAATCTTTGCAGAGGCAGAAAGTCTCATCTTTCTCTCACAGAGCAGCTGGTGACCTTGAGGCTCACAGTCCAGTACTTATCCTACAGAGCCATCTCACTCCCTTGTGTGGCCCTAGTATTCCTAGATAACACGCGCTGTAAGTTACAAGCAGAGTGGTGACAGTACAAGGTGCCTGGAAGTCTTCAGCGCTGCCGACACCCCCTCAGCTCGCAGGGACTATTGTCACCCTGGAGCCTAGCGCTGCTAAGAAAGGGGGTGAGAAGAGGGCAGGGGCCAGGCGGCTCTTACTGGTACTTGTAGGGCGGCTGTCTGGATGGGGGTGGTGAGGGCGGTGAGGGCTGGGTTCTGGACGGCGGCCACAACGGGGCTGCCATCAGTTTTCAGGGTGGTCAAAACCAGGGAATCTGTTTTGATGATCTGAGGCTGCACCAGGACCTGGATGGGAAAGAAGACAAGGAGAAAGGAAGGTCACATTATCTTTCTATCTGCGTTTGTTTCTTACTACACAGACGTTTGATGAAAATACAGGACAAGATCATTTTCATGATTGTTATAGTTGTTAGGTGCCATCGAGTAGGTACAACTCACAGCGATGCCTAAGCACAACAGAATGAAACACTGCCTGGTCTTGCACCGAGTATCCAAGTCCTCTTCACTTTCAGCAAACAAGGTTGTATATTTGCATATCAAAGTTTGCTAATGAGTCTTCTTCCAATCCTGATGCCATGTTTTCCTTCATCTGATCCAGCTTCTGGGATTATATACTCTGCATACAGACTGAATACGTGTGGTGAAAGAATACTACCTTAGTGCACGCCTTTCCTAATTTTAAACCATTTGGTGTTCCCTTGTTCTGTTCATACAACTGCCTCTTGGTCCATGTACAAGTTCCTCATGAGGACAATTAGATGTTCCAAAATACTCATTCTCCTCAATGTTGTCCATAGCTTGTCATGATACACATAATCGTAAGCCTTTGCATAGTCAATAAAGCACAAGTAATCACCTTTAGAGACTACATCTGACATCAGCAATGATATCCCTCGTTCCATGTACTCTTCGGAATCTGGCTTGAACCTCTGGCAGTTATCTGTCAATGTACATTTGCAGTCATTTCTGGATTATCTTTAGCAAAATTTTACTTGTATGAGATACTGAAGATATTGTCCAATGACTTCTGCATTCTGTTGGGTCACCTCTCTTTGGAATAGGCACAAATATGGACCTCTTCCAGTCAGTTGACCATGTAGTTGTCTTCCAAATTTCTTGACATAGATGAGTGAGTGCCTCCTATGCTACATCAGTTTGTTGAAAGATTTTAATTCATGTTCCATCAATTCCCGGTGCCTTGTTCTTCACCAATACTTTCAATGCACCTTGGACTTCTTCCTTCAGGATCACTGGTTCTTGATCACATGCTACCTCTGGAAATGGTTGAATATCGACCATTTCTTTTTGGTACAGTGACTCTGAGTATTCCTTTTGACTCTGCGTATTCTTTTGATGCTTTCTGCACCATTCAATAATTTGCTCATCGATGGTGAGAATTTTCATGATAGTGAGGATCAAAACAATAGCTGGCTACTTTGTACAACCTGTATTCTGGGGTGAGGGGCAAAAGAAGGTGCAGTTGAAGAAAGGTCTGGGTTTCAAGGCTGAAAAACTTCATGGAGAGCAGACTCATTGACCAAGCAAGCAGAGGCCAAGAGGGATAAGCTAGGTGGAGGGGAGGGAAAGAGGTCTGATTTTGAACAGACATACTCAGGAAATTCAAGAATCTGGCTAAGAAGCAAAGATGAGACACCTAGGGGTATGTCTGCATTGTTTTTAAAGAGTAATTACTTTGTCTAGTAACCAATAGGAGCTCTGGTAGCATAGTGGTTACGAACCGGGCTGTTAACATCAGGGTCAGCAATTTGAAACTACCAGCTGTTCCGCGGGAGAAGAGGCTTTCTGCTCCTGTAAAGATTTACAGCCTCGGAAACCCTGTACAGGGTCACTATGAATCGGAACCGACTTCACGGCACATAACAACAAGAAGTAACAAATGGGTCTTAAATATAGCCGGAATGCTCCTTAGAATTGAGGATGTTGAGACTCCATCTTAGGTGCTTTGGAAACATTATCAGGAAGGACCAAGTCCCTAGAGAAGGACATCAAGCTTGGTAAAGGAGAGGGTCAGTAAAAAAGAAGACCCCAGTGAGATGAAACGACACAGTAGTTGCACCAATGGGCTCAACTGGGCAAGTGCTTTGTTCTGTGTATGAGCTGGAATTGACTTGACGGCACCTACCCACAACTGTAGCGGGCTGTAGTTCTTACTGTTGATGTCAGGTGCTGTCGAGTTGGTGCTTCACTTCGGGTTTCTAATTATAGGTCTTTGCACATTTTGTTATTCTATTACACTCCTGTCTTCTGGAACAGATTTCATTCTGTTCAGTTGCTTGATGTCATCACGGCTTCCATTCACTTTAGCTACTCTACGTTCAAAAGCAAGTTTCAGGAGCTCTTCTGACACACACATCGATCTTCTTTCCTGTTCTTTTTCATGATCTTTGGCTTCCTTCATATATAATGTCCTTGATGTCATCCCACAAGTCAGAAGGTCTTCATTAGTGTTCAATGTGTCAAATCTATTCTTGAGATGGTCTCTAAATTCAGGTGGGACATGCTCAAAGTTGTCCTTTGGCTCTCATGAACTTGTTTTAATTTTCTTCAGGTTTTACTTCAACTTGTATATGAGCAATTGCTGGTCTGTTTCACAGTCGGCCCCTGGCCTTTTTCGGACTGATGATATCAAGCTTCTCCATGACCTCTTTTCAGAGATGTAGTTAATTTGATTCCTGTGTATTCCATCCAACGAGGTAAACATGTATGCTGTTGTTAGGTTCCGTCGAGTCGGTTCTGACCCATAGCGACCCTGTATAGGGTTTCCGAAGACCAGCTGGTGAGCCTGAACCACTGACCTTGCAGCTCAAATGGCTTTGCAGTCTGGCACATTAACCCACAGCGCCACACCAGGACTCCTATATAGTCACCATTGATGTTGTTGAAAAAGCTATTTGCAATGAATAAATCACTGATCTTGTAAATTCTATCATGTCATCTCCAACACTACATATTCCACCTACAGATCTATTTTCTTTGTTTTGCATTCCAATCACCAGTATTTATCAATGAATGCATCTTGATTTCATGTTTGATTCATTTCAGGACCTGATCTGTATCCTGAGCATTTCTGATCTTAAATTGTAACCTGTTAACTTCCCGATAAACCCCATAATCCTGAGGATTGTCTGAGTTCTGTGTGGCCACTGCCACGAATGATCAGACCTGGGAGAGAAGCAGAATGCCGTGGGAGTGCTGATTGGTGTCAGAATTAATAAAGAGGGTTGGAGGGTGGAGGCCATGTCTGGCCTCCACTTCACAGAAATTGGCCTTGGGCTGATGAGTTTGATGCTCTTTCCCCCTTGTGAAGCCAAGGAGCCACTCTTACGCCATTTTTGTACGTGTACATTCGAATAATAGTTGCATAATCTGGTCTTTCTTATAGGTGTATGGATATTATCTTATCAATGACCGCGTTGCACTTCAGGATCATCTTGAAATATTCTTTTGGACAATGAATGTGATGCCACTCCTCTTTGATTTGTTATTTCCAGCATAGAAAATATGTTTGTCCAATTTAAGATGTTGAGTACCAGTCCATTTCAGCTCATTAATACCCAGAATATTTAGCTATATGCATTCCATTTCATTTTGACAACTTGCAATTTTCATACTTTGAACATTCCACGTTACGATTATCAATGGATGTCTGCAGCAGTTTCTTCTCATTTTTCAGTGTTGCAACATCAGCAAATGAAGTTCCTAAAAGCTTCATTAAAGTTGCAGCTCATCTTCCAGATTATATAAGGCAATGTTTCACTGCCATTCATGAGGTTTTCACTGGCCAGTATTTTCAGAAGCAGGTCACTAGGTCCTCCTTCCTAGTTTGGCCTAGCCTAGAAGTTCTGCGTAAACTTGTCCACCATGGGTGACCCTGATGGTTGTTTGACATACTGGTGCCATAGCTTCCAGCATCACAGCAACACGATATTGACAGATGAGTGACCTCATATAATACACCACTTATTTTAACATCTTTACCTGGTATATGTGTAAGTCAGTTAACAAACTCACTCACGGATTGTGTGTGGTACACGCAGCACTGCAGATGACCACCTCTCCAACCAGGGACCCGTCCAAAGGCCCCACCAGCACCCGTATGAATCCCCACCAAACACCTACCGGGACCTGTTGCACCTGGGGAGCGGCCACCGTCTGCACTGTGGCTGGAGCCAGGGCCTGCAGTGTGCCATTGGCTGTCTGCGTCAGCACCCGCTGGGCCTGGACTGTCTGCACCTGCTGCTGGATGGTGACCGGCTGCACCTGGGAAGATGTCACCAGGCTTTGGACTTGAGGCTGGAGGACTTGAGAGAAGAGGAGAAAAGGTCACGCAGCTCAGAGTACACTGTCCCTGTCACTACAGCAAGATGCTGAGGGTGGAGCCCAGCCCCCACCAGCTGCTGAGTTGATACACATGCCCATTAATAAGCTGGTCTAGTGAACACATACATCCCAGAAGGCTACCTTCACTTCTGAGAGAACGAGCACAAATGATCTCATTATTCGTGTGTGTGCGTGTGCGCATGTGGTGTGTGGCTACTCAGCAGATGACTCCTCCTAGCAAGGGAAGCCTTGGATGTTCCAGGTCAGCACAGCCGGGCACCACTGGTGCCATCCTTTCAGGGGAGGAGGTGGACACTGGAATGGTTGCCTCACCCCTCACCCCCACAAACCCACTGATAGCTCTGTCACACTAAGATTCAGAGCAATTCCAGTTTCAGGCAGGCACCATGCAGACAAGCCACCATCAGCCAGCCCTCACTCCATGAGAGGCCTGCTGCCAGAAGGGAGCACCCAGACTCCAGGTCACACCTGTCTCCAGCGTGGGAGCTCCAGTGTCTGCAGAATGGATGGCTCATAATGTAGAGGTGCTGAGTCTGGGTTGCTGCCTCAGCAGAAAGCTGGGCAAATTTCAAACCTAATTTTATTCAAGCCTCATGCTCCAGTTCCCAGGACAGCCCTTGGTCTACTGTGCTTGTTGACGTCTCTGACCGAGTGCCGTCAAGGCAAGCGCAACAGACATGAAGGCATTTGGCGAGGCAGAACGTGAGATATTCCTGGTGCACGGTTCTCACTGCTAGTCATCACGCTTCCAGACAGGCCCCCAGGGATGCAGTTGGGACTCCCACACAGGGCAGGGATATTCACAGTCTACCCTGCCAGGCTCCATCACATCTGACTGGGGAGTCACCTTGGAAGCTGGTGGCTGCGTTCTGGTAGATCAGAGGCTGCTGGATGATCCTCGTCTGGGGGGCAGTGCTGAACGTTGGACTGACCACTACGGTCTGCTGCTGCAGCTGAGCATGAGGTGGAGGCTGGGGCTGGGGGCGGGGCTGGAGAACAGGTGCAGCCCTTGGCGGGGTGACCGTGGAGGTCTGGGGGACTTTGACCTGCAGGGCCGGAGTCTGGGGGGAGGTGGCTGAGGGAGGGAAGGAAGGCAAGGGGACCTGGCTGAATGAGCGCTGCATCGAAGGGTCTACGGTGGCTCCGCCATTGGTGCCCCCGCCACCAGGGAAGGAGCTGCACAGCTGCTCGGAAAACAAGTCCGGAAACTCTCCCACCTGATTGCTGACAAACTGCAGCATTTCTGTGAACAAATGGAAAAAGGAAGGGGGGGGGTTATTGTCATCCAAAATACGTACTAACTCTGATTTGCCTAAGAAACCATGGCATGAAAATCCCTCAGCTTTCTTAAGACTGTGCCAGAATTGGGTCCGAAACCCTCAGCTCCCTTCTGTGTGGGGCTCACCAGGACCCAGTCAGGAGCCTGGTGGATTATTCTTTCCCCTCCTGGTCTTTCCTGACTGGTTTTATCAGTGGTAACAGGTGCTATTCCTGCACTCGGAAGCTTTGGCTTCATGGAGGGTACTGCTGGCCTGATTTTACAGTTGTCAACACTGAGGTAGAGAATGGCTAATCACTATCCCAGGGCCTTAGACTGTGAGACCACTTACAATCTCAGCACTGCTTCCAGGGCAGACCCCATTTCTCCTAGTCCCAAGGAATCTTCATCTCTCACCACCAGTGGCCATTAAGCCCTATGGGTCCAGTCCGCAGCACTCTTGGTGCCTCACGGACACTCAGGAGTAATGGGGTCACTGGTCCTTGAGTCATAGACTTTTAGGGATGGACAGATGACATATGAAATTCAGTACCGGGAAATGAAACTTGGCCAAGGTCCGGATCAGAGCCAGCTTTCTGCTTCCAGCTTCTTCTGGACTACGCTACTTGGGCAGAAGGGCAGGACAGGGCAACCAGCCTGTCTGCCCCGGGCTCCATGCCCGGATGGCCTGCTCCTCAGTTTGTGCCCTTTCCCTCTGGGCAAGAAGCCTTTGGGGCCAACGAATGTGACTACCTGGAGACCCCATGTTTAGATCAGGCTCTGAATATCCTGAACTCGTGGGGTCAAAGTCTGCAAGAGCCTATCCTCCCAGTGGGTCACCAAAACTCAAGCAAACGCACCACTAACAACAGCTCATCTCTAATGATGCCGTCCTCTTGCTAGCTAGAGGCTGGTCCCCATGAGGAGTCCGTGGTCTCCACTTTGTCCTAGGCGTTTTTAGGTTTACAACTCTCAACCTGCTCATGCTCCTCCCCTTTTCTCTCCAACACACTCCTCCCAAGAAATGAGGGCCGTTCCTGGACTGTGACACTCTCCCCTCCAAACTTCAAGGCCACAGGAGGCTCAGTCTGTACTCCTCCTGGTGTGACGCTATAGGACCAGCACTGGACTGTGAACCGCAAGGTTGGTAGTTCAAACCCACCAGCTGCTCCTAGAAAACCCTATACAGGGTGTCCCTATGATTGAGAATCAACTCCACAGTACTTAACACCAAACCCCCTCAAAAAGGAGACAAGAACGCCAGTTCCATTATCACCCCAAATGTCTAACAATAAGTCAGTCCCTCCCAAGTCTCCAATACTGTGTGTGTATGTGTGTGTTGGGAGGTCATCTAGAGTTTATTTCAGAATTACAACAGAACCAACTGAAATAAAAACATGACAACAGAGTACTACAAAGAATTGTATTCCAACAAATTTCAAAACCTACTAGAAACAGACAAATTTCTAGAAACATGTGACCTACCTAAACTAACACAAATTCACCCCATGAAACAAGCATAACCTTGCTACCAGAGCCAGGCAAAGACACCATTACAAAAGGAAATTATGGACCAGCATCCCTCATGAATAGGGATACAAAAAATCCTCAGCAAAATCTAGCCAATAGAATACAACACCATAGCAAAAACAAACAAACAAACAAAAAAAAAACACATCGTGACCAAGAGGGAGTCATACCAGAGATGCAAGGATGTTCTAAGACTAGAAGAATCAACATAGTTTAAAACTACACGATCATATCAATTGATGCAGAAAAAGTTATTTGATAATATTCAACACCCTTTGCTAATAAAAATTCTCAGCAAAACAGGAATAGAAAGGAAATTCCTCAATATAATTAAGGACATATACAGGAGTCTTGGTGTGGCACTGTGGGTTAATATGCTGGACTGCAAAGTCGTCTGAACAGCAAGATAGGCAGTTCAAGCTTACCAGCCACTCCTTGAAAACTCTATACAGGGTCATTATGGGTCGGAATTGACTTGAAGGCACTTAACAACAACAACACAAAAGCAATGGTCAACTGGTTGGCCAGCAGTGTGGCAAGACCTGGAGACTCTTGGGCCCAGAGTCAGTGACATAGCCACAGAGGACTAGAG